CTGTGAGAGGGGGACCACGATGGAGCAGGGGGAACAAGTTCCAGAAGCTCCCCCACCAAAGATGGAAGAAGCAGCAGCACTGACTGCACCCTCATTCCCTGACCCTGCGCCACTGGGGGAGTAGGTAGAGATATCGGGAGCAGAGCTGAGCCTGGGGAAGAAGGGAGGGGTGGGGGGAAGGTGTTCTCAAGATGTGGCAATGCTTCTCACTGTCCTACTCTGTTATGTGTTGTTAGTGTCTGTAATAAATGTATGTTTTTTTCTTCCCCTAACGAGTCTGCCTTTTGCTCACGATCATAAAGGGGGATTTTTCCCCCTCCCAGTCCTATGTCAAACCCCAAGCCTGGCTCTCTGTCCCTTCTCATTGCTGGAAGAGAAGGGAGAGAGAGTGGCTGCGTGGTGGTTGGCTGCCAACCAGGCTCAAACCACAACACCTGAATATGTAAGAAGCAGCAGCACTGACTGCACCCCCCATCCCCTGCCCCTGCGCTGCTGTGGGGAGGAGATATCAGGAATAGAGCTGAGCCTAGGAAGAAGGGAGGGGTGGAAGGAAGGTGTTCTCAAGATGTGGTAAAGCTTCTCACTGTCCTACTCTGTTAAGTATTGTTGTTAGTGTCTGTAATAAATTTATGTTCTGTTTGTCTTCCCCCAGTAAGTCAGTCTCTTGCCCATGACCGTAATGGGCGAGTCATCCCTCCCTGTCCTTATCCCGAATCTTGATGCTTTGCTTATTTTCTCCTCAGCATTGGAGGACAAGGGAGCAGTGAGCAACTGCATGGTGCTCAGTTGCTCTCTGAGCTCAAACCATGACAAGTAGCAAAGTAGTAGCTGCACAGATCTATTAAGAAACTACCTATATCAGTCTCAGCAACATGGAACTTTGCTCACCTCCTCTACAAAGAAGGAAAACCTCTCACCACCGCCTTGCTTCTGGAGAGGTGGATTTTCTGCACTTTATTTTTCAAGTTGGGTCTATGTGTACTACTGTAGGCATTCACTATAAGAGCGGCAAAAGCAAGAATAGTGAGGTTCGAATTGAAAAGTGGGACTGACATGATTGAGAAAACTGAAAATGGGACATTACGCTTCTCACCAGCTGCAGGAAGCACAGAGCCAGAAGCAGCTGATGCTGAAGTGCCCCAGAAATAGAAATACTGAAAACCATTGTTAATTTGAATCATTAACTTAGAATCACTTACCTGTGTTAACACCTACATAATGGAAACGTAGCAACTGCCGTAATACCAAGCCAGTAATTCCTCAGTGAACCATCTTCCAGAGGACAATAAGCCATGCACCTCAGAAACTGACTTATGATGTCTTCCTTTAACCTCACAAAAGAGCATTCAACTTGCTCTTCCTGGCTAATTACAATTGATTAGCTTTTCCTAAACTAATACATATACTGTAAAAACAGACATCTTCATGTCTCGGACACAACACCCTATAGAACTACTGTAAGATCTAAAACAGTGAATTCTTACAGCTACCTGTGATGTGTTTTGCCAAATAGTGTTGTCTGGTCAGTTCTCAAATCTGTTCAATTATTTTGACTGAGCATCTAATTTCATAATAAAGAATAGAAAAAGAAAGAACTAACACTGCCCTTTATTAATAGAACAGCATTTATAAGCTTATGCTGCCAGTCCAACTACACAGAAAGTACAAGGATGCCCAAGACAGTGAAGTGACTTAAAATGCTCTCTGGAAAACCCCATACAGTCAACAAAAGCCATATAAACTAACATCTGGATGCAGGGACAAATGTTTGAGAGAACTTGAATGCAGACATTACAGACAAATCAGTTATGGCACAGAATCACTAATGAAATATAAAAGTAATTAAAAAACCCTCTTCCTGGCCCTGCTGCTCCTCCTCTACCCCTGCGTTTTTTTTTTTAAACAAAATGTTTGAAATATATTAGGCTTGTGTCTATTTTTCTGAAGAAAATAATTATTTGATATGTTAAAATATTGTAATAAAATTCCCCCCCCTCCCCCCATTAGCCTAGTCCAAGGTGTTTTTTCCTCAAGATACTTAGGTTTTGCATCTAATTAAAAAACCTCAACATGTCTGTGTCCTTATGCAAAAATTCCTGGTGTTGCCATTAAAAAAATATACTTCCCATGTAAAATAGACTTTTAATACCTCCTTGAGCATTCAAATACACTGTAACATTAAACCACTGTAAATAACTTCAGGATGAACATGATCAGTGCCAGCGTGAATGGTGTCACTGGAACACTGCCTGTGCCTATGGTTCAGAGCCGTCCCACAGCAAGACTCTGGAAGTAGAGAAGAGCTGATGAACAAGGCACTATCTATGAAGTCTGAAATCTAATCTTTTACTTTATTAAGTAAAGAAATGAACCTAATAGGGCACAAAAGTTGCTTGCTAGGGAAAGAGTACGTGCTCTTTAGAAGCACAAATTTTAGGATTACAGTAACTGCTGTCTCTTAATTGTCTGTAAAAGCCAAGAATGACTGCTAATCTACAATGATGGAAACAAAAATTAAATCTTATATCCCAATGGTTCATGTAATCAAATCCTATTTTGTGAACTGTTTAAGTGCTAAAATGCCCCAGCTTTAAAAACTGAGTTTCACGTGCTGTGAAAAAATAAAAAATTTGAAAACAGTCTTTTGTCTATTTTTTCAATTTTGGGTATCATACCAATCACGTTACTGCTGAGCAGTCTGCAATGTCAGTGTGTGTTAGACACAAAACCTTCTGAAATGGACTGGCTGAAATCTGTTTCCAAGGGTTGACAAACAAAACCTGGAACTACTAACAACTGAAAATCGAGAAAATACTGATGGATCACCGTATCTTTTGTGATGATAGAAACAATGAAGCTCTCACAGGAGAAAAATACAAAGTAGACTACTGTCAATTCCTATTTAAGTAAAAATAGTGTTACTTTGCATTTTCTCATTTTTTTTTCTTATCTTTATTTTTCTATTTACTGTGTGATGTTTAAATAACAGTTTTACCAAGAATAGTTGTGTTGTGTGGATTTCCATTGTTTGTTCCATGGTAGTGTTTACATGCCAATATCATGTGCAATGTTATTGTGTTAGGCACTCTGTCTAGCAATTCATGATCATCTATTCTACATTTGTCCGACAAGTATCCTCACAACTTCTATTATACAACTGACTATATGTCATTACCATAGTGACCTCTCCTTTACATTAAGCATCTGCAGACCAACAAGAGAACCAAAACCTCATGAGATGAAGCTTTTTTTAAAAAGACTAAACATTCGAGACTACATATTTCCTCATATTTATTTCGTAACTGTATTTTTCTAAAACATATTAAAATAGAAAAGATGTTCATCTGATTCATCATACAAAGAAAATATCAACATAGTAATAAAATACTGAAAATATATGAAAGCACCAAAACATTCAAATATTCATATTGGCAAAGACTCTAAGAATATATTTCTTGCAGTTTTACAGTAAAGTGCTATTCAATCCACTCAAATTAAGGAATTGGCATTTTGATAGCATGATTATTATTATAAGGTTACAAATTATTTTGTTACCTTTCTCAACAAGACAACAATCCATTTTCTTGGAAGCAAAGCTGCACGCACATGAAACTAACCTAAATAACAGCTTCATAGTAAGCAGTGAACAATGTAAGTTGCCTACTCATTAAGAAAATAAAATACTGAGAAGCAAACTGGACAGAAATGAGATTAGTGAAAATTAAGAAAATATAGATAGGGTAAAACATTGTATAAATTAAGAAAGGACAGAAGACTGTGCACCGAACAGTTTTGTAGACTTGCCTTTTACGTGGCAATTTTTAAAATAATCATATTGCTGCTTTATTAGTTAATCTGTTTATTAATGCATTTTTTAAACTGCCCTTTTCTATTTCCTAGAAATGATACTACATCTACAGCACGCTGGAGAGATACTGCAAGCAAAAAGACAGAAGTAGAATATGACCTTTATTTTTCCTCAATAATCTCTTCTCACATACTGAAGTCAGCAGACAAAACTAAATAATCTGTTACAAAGCCAATTTGTAGCAAAAATTAATTCTAGTAAAGAAATTATTTTAAATTTTTAGATCTCATCAAGAGTGAAAATTTTAGATGTATGAAAGATAACATCAGTCTCCTTTTAAGTGTTTAGCACTTTAATATACATATTTACAGCAATGAGTACAAAGAATCCTTGTTAGCATAAGCTCTCACTAGCTTCACACACCATTTCCACAACATTTTCTGAGAAATGGCAGATATAACACTTTTATGTTGCCTTCAACAATATTTAATCTGACTTGACTTGCTTTTTTCATAAATTCATCTGTATTTTAAGCATATTGCACATCTTAGAATAAGTTCTTAAATTGACTATTTATTAGCCTTTTTATGAACCAATAATAGGTCATCAAAAGTCAACTCATGCTCCTTTCGAGTTGCGTTCAAAAAAAAAAAAAACCAAAGAAGAATAGGAATAGTGTCTCATCATAATTATTTCATTAGTATCTTTGGAATCAAACAAGGGTTATACTCCTGGTCAATATGGCTGTATGTTATTTGGTAGGAAATATTTACAGTAACTTTTCATTCAGAAAAAGCACAAAAATAACCAATTTAACCAAAGAAAGCAATAAGCCTGAATTACCAAAATAATTACTAACATTTTCCTTTATATGTGCATGCACATAATTATATATAAAAAAAAAAATCTGCCTGTACTACATAATTTCTGTAAATTTTCCTTAATGAACAGGTTCATCTTTAGAATACACTCAGTTGACTGCTTGTACCTTCTATGAGAGTAATTCAGAATGCAAGAATGAATATGAAAAAATTAAATATTGTATTTAACGTAGCTGAATAAAGGAAAAAAAACTTAAACAGATTTAAATTATGTTATATTTGGTTTCCTCTTTCCAGTTCAGTAGTATTTATTGAGTTGTACAGTGAAAAGAGATCCTAGCTCTAACATCTTCCTCATGCCCTGTTCTGTCAACTTTCAGTAATTTCCTTTCCTGTCATTCATTTCTTTCTTTTTTTTTTTTTTTTTTTCCCCCAGCAAATTGTATCATCGTTTGTTGTTGTAGGCTCACAAACCTCATTTTGGCAGTTCCAGAATCTGAGTGCAGCACTGCAATCTCTTCCACTCCAAACAACCATAGTAGGCAGCACATCCAGTGCACAGCAATTCCTTTTAGCTTCTCTGGGTATGCGCCAGGTAGAAGCAGAAGGCAACAACAGTAACTGATAGTAATGATAAAACAACTGACAACTGCTGGAACCACAGGCAGCGATCAATCTGCTCTTGAAGTCGTTTATTAATTTGTAGTAAATGAGTTAGCTGAAAATAGATACAGTTTAATTACATTAGAATTACTGCATGTGAAAGTACTTGTTATTTTAGAGCCATTTAGCCAATAACTATAAGCTCAGAAAAAAAAAAAATAAAAAAGACTTCTCTTAGTGATACCTCTCTTCTATCACTACATACTTCAAGAATCTGTTCCACTAAAGGAGCTTCAAATCTTAAGTTATGGATAGCCCATATCGCCTATATCAAGCAGGTGACATCTTTACACTAGGAAGCAAAAGATACCGCTGAGGCTCACTGATACCCATATCTGTAATATACACGAGAGAAATAAGCAAACTGCATTGAAAGTAGTATTTTATTAAACCATTACCATTCAACAAAGTAATGAAATCACTATCACTGATTTAGTTACTTTCAATCACTGAGCTTTAGAATACTATAATTTACAAAGTAGCAAAGAGGTTAGTACAAATTCTTTTTATATCTATCATATTTTATAATTTTGTTCAATATTCAGCAGAAAGGAATACACTATTACCTGTATATGTAAATCTTCATTGTTTTTTGCTGGAATATTAAATGCATTCTCTTTTAATGTCAGAGAAGACGGCTTACTACTTTCTACAACGTGACACCTGAGCCTGCGAAAGGGGAAAAAAATATTCACCAAAAATGATAAATTTAATGTAACATTGTATAATTAATAGTAACCAGTCCATCTAACACTTATTATATGCACTTTATCATCTGTTCTGCGTCATTAATTTTCTAAATGATTATTGCAATGATAGTCTGAAAAGGCTTCCTTGGTCCACCAATTATGTTTTGACAGCTTTTGATATAGAAAGCAAGATCAAAATTAACTGCATGCTCAGTTAAAATATACCTTCATCATTTGAAGTTCATAGCACAGGATGCACTGGATTATTCTGTCAAATACTTACTACCAGAGATGCAACAATTTATTGAACAGCAAACAAATCTAAAGCTTTTATTTCCATTTTAAACACTAGCAACAACATTCTTTATAGAGTCTACCTCTTCCACAGTTGAAAATGCAGGAACAGAATTTCAAGTCACAACTGAAGGTAGTAAAATCCTACAGAGTTTATAAAATACAACAGAAGCTCCTCTGATAACATGGAAGTCAATTAGCTTGGGAATGAATTTAATTGCTAAAGAAATGGTTAAATTCAGGCCAAGGCATTTTTCTATTTTAAGGAAAGAGAAACACTAAAACTTTTCCTGAAAGACAAAAGAGAAACAGTGACAAATACGTGTAATAAAATCTAAGATGCTTCCTCAGATAAAGTACTTGCACATATAATATTAAAGAGACAATAATTATATTCTTCACTACATTTAATCTAGGTTTAATAAAAAAAAGGAAAGGACAGTTTTGTATTCATCGGTAACATAAGTGCAAGGCACACTTTGCAGGTAATCAATTTAATGTAATCAAATAATCTCTCCCTATTGTTTCACGGTCTACATTTGAAAAAATGGCAACATTTATGCAATGAAGCTTAAGGTCACTCACATGATGTAGATTTGTTTAATATGAAAGTAAGGGATAAACATTTGAAGCAAAGATAGAGCAGACTTAGGCATCAAGTCTCAAAAATACTTCTATGTTCATTTTGGCCATGGAGGAGTTCCAAAAGATTCTCCTCAAAACAAGGAGCAAGTAAAAATACAATCAAATTACTTTTTTTAAAGATGAAACAGCATCTTGATATCATGGCTCTAAGACTTCTAGATGAAACAGAACTACAATGAACTTTTCTGGGAAATGTACAGTGATACAATCAAATGTGAATGGATGAGAGTGAAGAGTACCAGGTATATTTAAAACTGTACGTGGAAATGTATTTTACTAGTGGTATTTTTTCATCATTAAATATGGAAAACAGACATATGAACATGTGATAGGTTTTATAGAAATTTTCTGCAAAATTATGATTTTCCCTGGCAGAAAGAAAATACTGTCTAAAGTTTTGCATTTGATAAGTCTTCCTTCCTTGTTTCTTTTTAGAAAACTCAAATGGCACATTCTTACTAAAAAAAAAAAATAATCTACTGTCCGTGTGCATTGTCATATCCATTCACATTTCTTCCACTTAACTCCTAACCAGCACAACAACAGTAAAAACAGTATATGCAGAATACCATGACATTTTATGCATTAAAAACACCTCTAATCAGTTAAATCAGAGCAGAAACCTCAGCAATATACTTGTCAGTAAGCACACAACTGGGGTTGGAGATTCCGTCACTGATTTTGATATGCAAGTGCTATAAATCAGCTAAATGATAATGGCTAAAAAACCCCCACTGACAACAGAAAACTTGCTCACCTATGTTCCATCACTTTGGTCCTAGGGACTTCTTTCCAAAACTGAGTCAGTTCTGGTACACCTGCTCCAGAGGACTGGTCCATTTCTGCTGCCATTATAAGGAAACGATCCTGCAGAGAAGCTGCAAAACCTGTCCCCAAAGAAAAAAACAAGCAAAAGTGTGCTTTGATAAAAAGGCAATATTACAAATTGTACAGAGGCATTTTTGATCAAAATTGTTTTAAAATCAGAGCTTGTTTTTGCAGGACATCAGACACTGACTTACTAGAAATAAAAATAATGAAATAATTCTCTTAAGCTCAACAATTTTGATTACAGTTTTCCTAAAATTTTACACTTTTGGTTTAACAGAACCAGTTTCATCTGAATGATTCAAGGACAACCCAGAATTTTGTAAAGAATGCATTCTCCAGCAAATTCATCTGTCCTCGCAACAACTTAGGAAACTGACTTACTGCAGATAAATTCCCACTGTAACAGAGCACAAGTGAGACATGTGCCACTGTGACTTTTTTTTTTTTTTTTTTTTTTTAGAATACAAGAAACAGAACAGGCTGCAGACAACAGCTGCTTATGCCTAAGTGGAGTAGTAAGTCAGTACAGGCTGTGAGTATACTCACATGCTGTCTGACATCTGTATTTTTTTAAAAAATAGTAATATTCTTAATACAATAGTCAAGTAGACATGTGTGTCAGTCACACACCCCAGCAAGCTCATACAAATGTTAGTATCTAGAGCATCAGCCTGTTAATAAAACTTGTCCAGACTTCTTAAAAACTCTACTGTAAGGTTTTACTTACCACCATGAAGAGAAACTATTATATCCAATGATGTGCCAGGTTCACAGCTGCTGTTACTGGGTTTTACTCTGTATTTTTCAGGTGCAGTTGTTCTCACCTATAAACAAGAAACGCCAAGCAAGCATATAGTAAATGCATGCACAAACTGATAGTTTCATAACCTCCCTCATTCTGTAATTACTAAAATCGCCAAAAACTTAAATATTAAGACACGGTAATACATATAGTCTTTAAAATACTTTATTTTGTAGGAGTAATCAGATACTGGTATTTCACTTTTTCCCTTCTCTCAACCACTTCCATCCTTTCTTTTCTGGAAAATGTTATTTTTCTCTCTTATACACGTATTTTAAAAGGGCCAAGAATATCAAAAAGACTATCTGTTAAAATTTTTAATATGAAAGCATAGAAACTAGTTATTTGTGTGTGGTGGAAAGAACACAAAAGATGTGGTGGAAAACCAAATCAAGATGCAAGTCAACTCAGTATTTCTGAAGGAAACATAAATGCATTCATTCTTTTGATGATGACATTTGCAGATGAAGCTATATCATTTTGAAGTATTACTAACTTGTTCCAAGAAAAGACTTAAAAAGGAGAAAAATTCTAAAAAGATGACTTTTCAATGCTCAGACTTTTCTTTTTCAGTAAGTATTAGACCCTCACTAAAGAACTAACCATCACCATAGCACTTTTCCAGTCAATGCTCCAAAGATTTGTACTACTCATTATCACCTTTGGGGTGGTACATAACAGGCATAAATTCATCCAGATTTCTTTGATCTGCTTTAAACATTGTAACAGAATAAAAAATTAAGACTGGAAAGTGGGTTTAATAGTATTTCTTCCTCCTTACACAGAACAAGTTACATGTTTAGTAAAGTAAACCAGGCCACATATAAAAATACTTACCTTAAAAGCTACTATGTTTTTAGTGACATTCGTGAGAACTATCAAACATTTTTTATCTCCAGTTTCTTTGGATCCAAAATATAGCTCTTCTGCTGGGCTAATAAGAAATTTAAAAAGAATTAGTTTCTTCAAATTATCTTTACAACATATCATAGAAAAAATCTGACCACATCTACAGGAAAATAAAATACTTTTAACCCTGCAGCTACAGTCACTATATAGTTTTTCAACAAAAAAGCTGTGAAAACAAAATGCAGAAATTTTGTAGTGAAGCTTAGGGTTGACTCATGACTACAAGTGGACCTAGGTGCCTCAGCTGATTACCGCCCTTGACTTCTTCCATATGGAAGAGCACGACCACCTGCAACAGCAGGAATAGCCAACAGCTAAATAGTCACCTCAGCCACTGCTTCTTAGAGCAGTATGCTAAGGGAAAGCCTCACTCATTGTTAATTTATGGTAATATTAAAGAATATGAGGTATCACAGACAGGGAGTGATTTCTACCTCATGTATCTATCCTTGTAATGGGTATAGTGCACATGTAAGAGGAGCAAGCAGGTATCTGCGAGTGGCAATCATTTCAACCACTGCAGCTAAATTCACTTGTACTTATGAGCCAGTCTTCACATACTGATGGTGACACATGCATAAATAAAATTATTGCTTGTTTTTAATATTCTTGTGCAACTAGGGGAGTCATGCATGAAATCTTTTAAACCATATCAAACTAACACGACTCATTTTGGAATAAGCATTCAAATGAACACTACTAGGCAAAAAATAGGGCATGCTCATATACTACAAGTTGAGAAGAAACTCAAGTGAAGTGAAAAACTGTTTTCTTTCAGTAAGTCACATCAGGAATATGCAAAAAATTGCCATACTATGCAGTACTACAGAACTGCATATTCTTTTAAGAGAAAGTATTTTTCAAAAAAAGTGTTATATTTTTTTCTAATCCCTTTTCAGAATGCCAATTTCATGTTAGCTTGACCTCCTCCTCAAAAGACCTCCATTTACAGTAACAGTTCTTCTCTCTTCTCTCTCTTAAAACAAACCGGTGTATTAGCCAAGAAGAAAAATCCTTGGTGCTGCAGGGCAAGCCTGAATGCCCGTGACAGAGGCAGAATCCAATGGTGACTCTGTATGTGTGTGTTTCACACTGTATCAGAGTCCACGTGACAATTATTTTTTTTTCTTTGTGGTGGTGGGGATGGAAGAAGTGCACTGACTGAGGCAAAAAGCAAGAAAGGGATGGGTTTAAAACAGATTAATAGGGCAACTGTATCCCCTTCTCCTCTCAGCTTTTTTTGATTCCCAAAGTCTCAACTTAAGTAAACAACAGTAGGGAAAGGAAGGAGTGGAGTTACAAAGTACTTTGGATATTTTAATACTGTATACTGTTGCAGCTGTGTGTTATAGAAATTGCAAGTTGAACCATGAGACAGAAAAGCATTAACTAGTACCAAACTATGCCACAAAAAGAGCTCAAGGAAAGGAACATTCTGTCGGAGATTGATTTTTCTTGTTCCGCCACCAAATGGGGTTATTAACAAAAAAAAAAATACTGCTGTATGCCTGTTGTCTGTGGAATCAACCAGTCATAGTGTTATGGGTGGGTGGGTTGTGGTTGTTGAAAGAATAAGGCATTTCATTTTAAATGAACACCCAAACTTTTACATTTTTACAAAAACGCTGCTTCCTTTACTCTGATGTGTGTAACAATTTCAGCTTGTACTAGAAATTCTCATCTCAAAATATACCACTGCCAAACAGTGCAAGTGAACTGCTGCTTTTTGTCTTACTAAAGTCACTTATCGAGGAGGAAGGTGAATAAAGACCAGTCTTTCACAGAAAGGTATGCAAGGAAAAATGCAATAGCGGTCCATACCAGGGAGAGCGCTGACTAGTGAGCATGGCTACAAAGACAACCGAAGAGCCCAAGTAGCCAGGTTTAGTTGTACGCCAGAGCCAACAGGTACAAAGCAGTGATAGGTAAGGAATATCCTTGCAGGGGGTCTAAGAAGGCCCCACCAAGTCCTCTGAAGCAGCAGGCAGGGAGGCACAGAAAGGTCCTTGGCCATTTCATGGTGCCAGAGCTGCTGTGCCTCAGCTCCCTGTCAGGCTCCAGGCTGGGATCAAAGATACAACCCAATTACACTGGCAGAGCTAATATTCTGAGATAGGCAGCTGTGACTAGAGGGCACTATATATTATCAGTTGAGTAAGTTTCAGTTCAGTGCCTTAAGATAGATTCCAGGGAAACAAAAACTAGTTCTAGATTCTACAATTAGAGTATTACTATAGAGCAACAACCGCACATACACTCAGCAGTTTACTTAAAAAACACACGCAAACAAAAAAAAAAAAAAAAACAACAAACAGCAAGGACAAGGGAGACAGTATTTTATTTTCCATGATTGCAAGACTACAAGTATTAGCACACATATGAGTTCACTCTTTCATGTAATTTATATGAATTCCAGCATTTGTATTGAGGGTAAACTTGAAGTATTTTAAGAGAAAGAAGGCAGTTGGTGTGGGGGGGGTTTGGGTGTTGGTTTTACTTTAGGGTTTTGTTTGATTGTAGGGTTGTGGTTTATGTTGGTTTTGAGGGGGTTTTTTTCACTGTGGTTTGTTTTCTTTTTTTGGAAGTGGCTGGAAGATCACCACTGCATGGAAAATTTTAAACATTCTTCAAAAAAAAATAAAAATCACAGTTCTGCAGTCTATGCCTTTGTCCTGCCATACAAAGAAGTAAGTCTATATAGAGGAGGTTTGTGCACAAAAGGACTAAAGATAATTTTCAGTTCAAAACCAGGAAAATTTGACACAAAATATTTTTTGATGCTAATGAGCATGTCATTATTCAAATTCATTCCAAAACTAATTCAGTACAGCACTTACAAAATTAGCTAAGGAATTACCTATAAATTAGATATTTTCTTCATTCATCTAATAGCAAACTGGAAGTGAAAATAATAGTTAACATCTAAATCAATATCTAAACAAGAATCTTAACCTGAAAAGGCAGTGAAAAGAAAAAGTTATATTGGCTATTTGATTTTAGTTTAATGATAAAAACAGATTATTTGCGAGATGTAAGCATCTTGGATGACAAAAATCTGAGCAGACATGTCATTTATACAGAGCACTTCCCACATGAAATAAATTGGACCCCATTCACTGATTTTAATTGGTGCGAACTACTAATGTAGACCTTTATGCCAAGTTAAAAGAATTCAAGTAAGACTTAACAGTGAAATCTGTCTTACTAAATGCACTGTTTAAGCCAATGCAATCAATGTCAAACCGCTGCTCTCATTACAGATAAGTAAAGGTTTAACTAAGGTTTAACCAAATCCAGTGACAGTTTCTCAATATAAATGAAACCATGAAATGCTTCTACAGTTCTGTGAAGTGTAGACCTACTAATTAGTACAAACAGCATGCCAACAGTGACATCAAAATATTAACTAAAAACATGTAAAACCAGAAAGATTCTTTGAGCTTTTTAAAAATAATTCTTAAAAGAATGTTTAACTTGTTTTCCTCTAATTGTCTAAAAAATATTTTGAAAACTAACTAGTTCCGTATTCAAGTGTTCAAGGCACATTGTAAAAAAAAATTAAAGAAGATTACCTGATATGTAATAAAGGTCCTTTAAAAGTGCTTAATGCTTTCTTTGCATTTTTTGGTTTGATCTCTGTTTTGTCAGTTTCCTCTGATTTGGAAATTTGTTCTATAGAATTCATCTGAGTAAAAATGACAGTTATAATCATTACCTAGAAACCCAGGTTACACATGTTAAAGAATCATGCAGGTGTTTCAAAGAATGAGGAGGCTTATTTCAACAATTTTTATATTACAGACCAAACTTCATATGTATTAATTCCCTGAAGCTTCTTGAAGTCCATTGAATGATTTGTTACAAAAGTTACATTACGTATTGAACGTGCATGAAGTAAAACTTCTGCTTTGTTTTTCCCATGTATTTTCCTGATGCCCAAAGGTGATTATTTTTGAAAACTCCCGACACATTAAGCTCTAGTACTTCAAATATTTAAGATTATAAAGCATTGATGTTATTCTTCCACAGCAAAAATTTTCAATTAAAACCAACACCCCAATACAATCACTGCAATGCTGAACAGAACACAGCAACAATTCCACATTTTATTTTATTGTAGAGCTGCTAAACGTATCTTCACTGGTTTTAGATGGAACTCTGAAGTCTTGGAGAACTTAAAAGAAATAATGCTGATTGAGTTGGTACATCCAAAACTGCAGATATCTTTGTTCTGAGGATTTTCCTCTATTACATTAATATAGGTCAGCAGGCCTGGACATCTTATAAAAAAAAATGGTAGAACTCTGGAATTAAGTGCAAAATAGGGCAACAGGAAATACAGAAGACTGAAAGAATTAGTGACATCATGACTCGAGATCAGCTAGCTGAACAATTGAGCCTTGTTTTTATTCCACTTAAAATACAGGGAGAAGACATGAATATAATTCAGTTTATGTAAATCTGAAGTATGGGAATGAAAGGAATACAAAATTTTATAGGAAGTAGGTTTTATAAAAAGAAACCACACAGCACTTGGATTTTTTTATAGTTACAGTCATAGTAAAAGGTTAATGTGTAAATACACTGCAGTAATTATGTGTGGGGCTTTATTCTACATAAATGTAATTAAAATTACCAGAGAAAATATTACAATAGTCCACAGAGTAAAGGTGGAGGCATCTACAAGACAGACACTTACTAATCAAACTTATCACTCATGGCTCCCTCTACTCTGTGGAAAGAAGTAGGCCCTTCTATGGGATAAGAGGAAGCATATATATACACACACAATAGATCAGATAATTCTTAGTGAAGACAAGAGTCTGCATATGAAGACTGGTAATGCAGTAAATGGAGACAATAATATCTCACAGATCACTTGAAATCTGTTAATTTGGAAGCTGGCTGTCCTGGGTTGAGTGAGTGGTAGAGTTTTTTGGTGGCAGGGGAGGGGGCTATCGGGGCAGCCCCCGGCCTTAAAATATTTGAACGTTTATACTTAGAGTCAACTAATAAATAATTAACTTGGAAATAAGAAAAGCCAACCATTCTGAGACAATAAGGGAGTGTTTCTGAAAAACACATTTTGGAAAAGAACATAAGATTGAAGAGGCAAACAATGGTATACTTGCTGTGGAAGAAATAGCAAGTATTATTCTTAAAATATGTGAACAGAAGAATAGTGAGTTGAAGCAAACCAATAATCTACTTTTTACAGAAACAGTACCAACAAGATACAGTCTGAAATTTAAAAATATTTTAAAAGGTAAGGCCTTAAACATGCCTTAATATTGATACATGATGAGCATAAATGTCAATCTTAGTTCACTGAAAAGACTGAGTATCAGCTTGATTATACTGTATATAAGAGAAAATGCCATAAACCAAATCATTATTTTTAAGAGTGAAGTAAAAAAAATACCTTAAGTAGAAAGCTGAGGTCAGCCGAGCAAACTGAATATAAATACTCAGAGGCTATTTAGCACCAAAGACAACTCACACACTGAACAGGAATTCTCCATGTTTCCATATCTGAGAATCAGAGCTTGGAAGATGTGCTATAACCAAAACAAGCTACTGAGTCTAATGGTCAGGAAGTCACCATGGTTATGTAATACTCCCTTTTGACCTTAAGGTCAGTGAATTTTTTTTTTTTTTTTTGGAATAGCTGACAAAGTTGCAAAGAACAGCTGGACTAAGTGAACCATATGTTTCAAGTTATTCTGACAAACTTAAAACAGTAAATGAAACTAAGTGTAATATTAAGTATTCTACTCCATTAAACAGAAGTTTTGCAATTCATACTCCCAATTTATGAGTGGTGAATTTCAGATTTTTTTCCTACTATTTTCACGTGCAATATACCCACTATCACTGCATATTCCTAAATATCACTTCATATGGACTTCTGTAAAACAATGCTTTTATATTTCTAGATAAACACCACTGCAGGAAGATTATATTGTAAAACAGGATTAACAGATATGGGATACAAACTCTCCTAAGACTAAATGAAAACTTTTATATTTTGAGATTTTTATCAATAATTTAATAAAGCAAATTAATATCCATTAAAGTATAAATATTTAACTGTTAATATTTTCTCATGTATATACTGGCTTAAACACCTGTGAAAATTAGATGTATTTTAAGGTGTACACCACCTGGTAACCCAAGATTAAAAACAAACCAACTAGAAAGGCATAACCTTTGAGAACAAGAGAAGTGTTTTAAATTTTACTGTACAATTCACTATATTCTAGAGATACACTAAATATTTGGTACATATTTTACTCATTCAGAAGCATGAAACTGGTCTTAACAGACTAAGAAGCAAGGTTGAAATAACATCAAAAATTTTCAGTTTTCCTGTGTTCTTTTGCTAAGCTGGAGGGCAGAAAAAGAAGATTTAAAAAAAAACACAAAGTAAAAGCCAGACAAGAAACAAAAATTGTGTACTTCCTGTCCCACTTTGTAACCATTTAACTAGTCTTGCCTCAAACTTCAGAGTTAGATACCTTTTTCTGATTAAGATTTTGTTCATCATTCAGCTCCCCAGACTCCTTGGTGTCCGCATCTATCTCTTCTTTACTTTCATGCTCATCTTCACTAGTAATGGGCCCATTTTCACATAAGGGAGTTTGAAAATCATCATCAACCAATGGAGGATAACTGTACTTGAATGAATCCTAAAACATAAGGAGATTTTTAAAGGACCAGTTATTCAGGAGGATGAAAAGTACCTTATCTAATATTTTTTAAATTGAAATACTATAAATTTGTTTGTTTCACATTACTTGTATGTTTCATTTAACAATTTTAAGCTGGACCCCTGTGCAGAAAGCTGACACTACCAATAGTTTTTATTTTATCATCACTAATAGACAAATAAAGTCACCCAATGAAGCCACTAAATTATAACTACTGTTATTTATAGTCACAGCAGAACTACAGAATCTGGTCTATCAAGGATCAGCATTCAGAGCCTTAATGCTGAAGTTTTGTTCTTAGTTCTAAGAAACATGGTTTAAAACCTGACAGCTACTTCTGAAGCATGTCGCAGAAGTGTTGAAAAACTTTTCTTCATATTTTAGTTTCATCATAGTGAAGAGGAAAGATATATGGAAAATTACAAATTCCCAGTAGCGGCAAGGTTTGTCTACAGGACAATCTAATAATATTTTGTTCGTAGTTCTGCATAGGAATCTGCCTAACGAAGGAATAAGGTACACCCTACCTGTGACTAACAGGCTTGAGCCTGTCTGCTTACGTGATTTAGGTACACTCCTATCTAGGAAAAACAAGATAATGGAAGAAGGACACTGAAGCCTGCAGAACTACCAGATGCAACTGGTTTTGTAAGGGAAAGGGGAAGACAGAACCAAATTCAGAGAAAGGACACTGTGATGAAGATGAGGGTGATCAAGTAAACGACCACTGGAGGTCCTAGAAGACCACCCAGAGACTGTAGTGCGTATGCAGAAGTAGGCAGCAACATATGATTTATTGGAAAAGTAATGAATATTGTAATTGGTTCTTAGAATTTACATGAATATGTAAGTGAATTGTGTATAAATATCAAACTCCACTATGGTGTGGCACACATTAGAAGGAATGATCCCTTATGCATCCGACACATTGAATAAAGAATATCTGCTTAATAGCTATTACAGCTATTGAGACCGAATTCTCAGCTTCAATAGCCACAGTTTATGAAAAAAAAAAAAAAAAAAAAAAAAAAAAAAAAACCAAACAAACAAAACCACCCACACAAATGGTACAGACCCAAACGATGCTTCAAATTCAACCTAGCATGTGGACCTTTAACATATCCTCTAACTCAGACCTCAGTCTTTGGAATGCCAAATCAATTTAAAGACCATATTTAAGACACCTCAGAAATGTAGAAGCAGCATACTTAAGTTTTCAATGCTTCTACAGTAAACGTATCTTTTCTATTAGAAGACAGCAAAAGACAGCTTTTGCTAACCAGAAATTCTCTTAACATTCTCAAAATAGTTTTATTACTTCTAATGTTAGAAACAGTGTTTAAACAGAGATCTCTGTTCCTACTGCACTTTCAAACAGTTTTAAACTCCAAGTAAATTAAATTAGTCTGTCAGTTTTTCAGTGGAGGTAGAAAATACCATAGCTTTGACTTCTGAGGCAGACTTGAGCCATGCCCATAGTTCCCAAACTATGATACCATCAGGGAGTTAAAAAAAAGGTGTTTCAAGGGAGTTCTCCACAAGAAAGTATGTTTTCTCAAAGAGTAATGTGATGTTAGGAAAAATGATAAACCTTAGATGAGGCCATTGAAAGAAACTCCAAAACAGCACACTTCCTCCTAATCTATAATTTTCCTAATGTACAATCTCTCCTGTTCAGGCTGAAGCAGTCGTAGACCTTTAGGTGAATGAAACAGGTATCCACTGGCTAGCCTACCCTTAGCCAAACTGATAAAAAGCCTTTTCACTCCCTTCCAGCATATGATGCAAGGCATATGGCAAAGTGACCTTAATAAAGAGATGTTAATTTTGCTGCGCATTTCACTTGGCCACATTAATCCACAACGCCGGGTAGCTTCAGCAGCTGAACAGAATCTCACCAGGACAACTCAGTCCCACACTGCCCAATCACAGTCCATAATGTTCAGTAACATGGGTTTATCTACTAAGAGGGTGAAAATCTCACAGGTAAACAAGAGATTTATTCAATGCTTGATACATCCATTCTGTAGACTAATGGATTTCTTTTTATAGCAGATGTAGAGACTTTACACTATGTTTAGCAATTGTGGTAGAGGTATCTTAATCATGGTAGTGATATTTCCTAAGATTATATGTACACTGCGGCCATGGAATGACATGCAAAATGCCTGATGTCTTAACTTGAGGCCCCTGACCTATAAAAAGATAATTCCAAGAAAAGAAGCTATGGGTTATTAATTCAGATACCCAGGTGAAGAACACAACCTTCCAGCTTCACACATTGTTCAATATTGGCACCAGCGGAGAAGGGAATCTTGAGCAATTCATCCTGGTTAAATCCATCTCTGACAAAGGAAAACTGGGAAAATACACTAACTAAAACCTTACTGTATGTATGTGTCGTGCATCAATGTGTACACTGCATGTACATCTCATCTGTCTCGCACAAAATGTTACTGAAGAGGCAACTAATCTCCCTAGCCAGAAACATCTATGCCTTAAGAACTGAACTGTTCCACCATCAATACCTACAGCTGGAAATGGTAGAATGTGGGATACAACAGACTGTGAGTCCACAAAAACTGTGACTTAGTATACATTTATTACCAAATAAAAATAATTAGGGAGTGGCTTTTGAGCACCAAAGCCTAATTTTTCAGACTGCCTATAATTAGCTTGCTTCTAGAGCAATATGATTGTCTTATTTTGACATTTGAATTATAACTTCAGAGCAGGATGAAAACTGAGGGCCATAAACCCCATTTTCTGTTCACAGAACTTGTTTCATAAACCAACGCATTCTCCAATTCATCAGGTAGGAGAAAAAAAAAAGACTACAAGGAAGACTTACACTTAAAATGAATTTATTTTTAAAGTTCTGAAAAACTAAGTGGTTTCCAATGACCTTAAAGTAGACGAATGATTCAGAAAAATGATTTCTGTATTTAAGACTGCCAGATATCAAATTCTGATGAAGTTAAACTATTTTATGGTATGATGATTTACAAATTATGATTGGCAGAACAATTTTAAAGAAATCTCACATCCATGAAGTTGCAGCTCTCAACCCCATATAGGTAATTTATACAGGCATGTCTCAATATCACAGAAGGACTACAAAGGGTTAATATACTTACAGTTCCACCCATGTGAGGTGGCAGATACTCTCCACTGATGTATTCCTGTACATCATTCTTGTTCGTGAACTTCAGCATGCTTATTGCATCTGGGCCAAGCCAACCCTTCACAATTTTAAAAGCAGCTTTAAAAAAAAAAGTTACGAAGTTATCAGGAAGGGTTTTTTTTGCAGTGTATTAGTAGACCTTACAGAACACAAGCTACACTCCATAAGATATGGCAGGACCTTTTCTGAAAGTATCTATTATGAAGATAAACAGGTAAGGAAAAGACTTTACAGAGAAAATGCCTTATTGACATATACTTTTCTGTAGATGAATGCAGATAGACCATATACTTCCATGGAAAGAATATCTTTGATTTAGTAAGTGACAACTTTGTTGTCTTAGAATTTAGCCCAGCAGGTACGGAGGGGGTAAACCCAATTGTATTTCTAAACCTGAGGGAGGGAGGTTGGGAAAGATACATATACACTCTTCCATTTTGTTACTTTAAAGGACACTTGTTTAGATCTACTGTGTATTTTCAAACACCATAGTTATTTCAGTGATGGTAAAACATGAATATACAGAAAAATATAAAGCCATCATAAAAATATGTATTCATATGGTAAAAATACAGTAATTACATGTTTATCCTGTACATTATAATGAAAGATAATTATTGAAGTGCACACATGGAACATTATCAGTGTCCAGTGTCAGGCATCTAAAATTGTGTATTCTGTTTTGGCTGGTAATGTGTCCATCATTTGTTGATATTAGTATTCCTAAATCATTAGCAGATCTAGCTTTGAAAGGATTACATTGGAAACATTCAAAGAATAGAGTATTTATCAAGGTCTCCCAAGCTTTAAAGATAACAGAATTAATACAGACTAAAGTGTGATCCAAAATACAGTGCTAGAAGGAAAAAAAAAAGCATGTGGCCTACAAATCAACAGATTTAAAGATGCATGTTTAAGAAATTCCACCACTCAGCTGTATCTACACAGAACAGAAAAATGCTTCCTATTTATCCTACTAATTTTTAAAATTTATCACGATATAAAAACCAAAACTAAACAACTACTCACCATTCATTATCCATGGCATTTCAAAGATTACTATCTTTGCTGAAAAGAAAAAGGAAATAATCTGAATACCAAGTGATACATATTTCTGTTTAAGAGGAAGCACAGCAATACTGGTCACGTAAAAAATACTCATTTTTAGAAACCTCCACGTTCACTTCCCTATAGAAGCAATTTTGTATAATTATTTTTAACATGTATAAACCTATTTCTATTACCATATTAAAACTTTATGAACTGTTTTCTAAGCAAACAGCTAAAATCCTAAGTTACACACTGTTTATACACTTCCGGGATACTACTTCTCTAACTTTTGTTACTAAGTAGTAATCTCCCCAAACAAGGCAGAGAAAGGTACTATCTCAACCTGACCTAGAAAAGCAACTACTGAATGGAAAGTTTAACAGGTATATTCAGCACCTTCTTCTAAAAGAAGCAAATAGGAAGAGTCTTTGTAAATCTACATTTTTTCCAAGCTTCCCTTCAGAAAAATCTGAAAAGTTAGTACTTTGACTCAGAAGTGTCCCAAAATTTCTCTCTTGAATGTTAAAACCTCAAAAACATAACATTGCACTTCCCTTTAATTTTGATATTTGATCAGTTTTGAACTTTGATCAGCAAGCTGAAATCTAATATTCAGAGTTAAGCAGTTGCTGTACAGAACTTCAATATTCAGACTCATTTTCACATAAAATTTAACTCATTTAAGGTGACCTAACCTATCCATATAAAAATTAGCAGGCAGGTATGAAGGTTTTTCTAAGTGAAGAAAAATCACAAACACTTTTTATTCCTGTTCAGAGTAAACCATTCTTCCCTAAAATTTTCTATAGCCATTCATTCTTTGTCCCCTAAAGACTCCTAAGGGATATAAACTGTCACGCAAGTTTACAAAGCTTCTACACAAGGAGCAAAGGAAAATACAGGCCAATTCAATTCTACTAGATGCTTATATAAATTTTAAATCTGTAAAAACATGCCTTAAATTGTTATTTCAGGAAAAGCCAATTGATTTTTGATGAATGTAAAGTTTATTTACATTACAAAGTTGTGCTGACTTATGAGTACAAAAATACTCTGAATCTGTAACATTCATGTGCTCCGTGTAGTTACCACATACAGCACATGCAAAGAGACTTAGTTTCCCCCATCATCTGTAATATGACATGCTCCTACTACACATGTCTACAGTGCTTAAGATTTAATATACAGTACTTACTAAGGAAGTTTGGGTAATAATCTGTAAAACAGTTGACAATAAACCGAACAAAATCCAAGTCCTAAAATAAAAGCGCAGAGTAAATATAATGTAAATCAAAACATTAAAAATTCAGGCTTAGTTAAGCTAAGGCATTTATTGAATAGCACAAGATACTTATCTACATTCAAATTTTACACATACTACAAACATCATCCAAACTTAATGCAGCACTTTTCACTTCATTAAAATTGCTACAGGACTGTGGCCAAACTTGCTTCATGATCTAAGGAAGAAGCCTGACCTATTATCAATGTAGTAAGTGAGGTATCTAAACTACTGCAGAGTACCAACAGTATTTAAGCTGTACAGGAAAAGATACAGGAAAAATAAGCCTTTAGCACCAGAGAAGCTTGAGAGATGATCTTAAAGCCTTATAAGGGAAAGCACTAAACATACTGAAATTTCCCTTCAATAATACACTCAGGATCTTCTAGAGGGGAAAAAAAGTAACTTTTCCTTTTAAGAGTATTTTTGGGTTTAGTATTAGTTTGTGGTATACAGATAAATTGTGGGCCGAGGCAGCACTCCAGAGCTGCTTGTATACTACCCATTTTCAGGGTGCTTCCATTCGATGAACAGCCCCACAGAAATAGTACAGCCAAGTCTCCCTTGCAAAATCCAGGTATAACAGGACTACACAGTAATAGGCAAAAAAAAAGCATCTTGTGAAACAGTTATAGACTGTAAAAATAAGAGTTACCTGAACACAATCAGGTACCTTGGTTAGGTGGAAAGCCTGTCATGAGTACTCATACTTTCCCCCTCCCATCTAACCAAAGTGACCACTACTACTACTTTCAGAAACAGAACAAAATATATTGCTGATGGAGGATCCAAAGCCTGTCATAACAGTAAAAATGCTATGGGGAACAGGCTCCTACAGTAAACACACTATCACAACATTTGCAGACAGAGAGGAAAACCCAACACCCCATATAAGAGGATTACCCACAACCTGAAAGCTTTATTAGTAGCCTCAGTAACTAGAAACTAAAAGCTTCATATTTACAAAGGCAGAAGCATAGCCTTTAATAGATGCATTTATCCCAACTAGCTGTTGCTTGGCCCAAATGTAATATCTTTCATTTAACAGCATAAACACCGATAGATTTCCAAGCAACAAACAGAATCTCCTGTGCATTAAACAAGGATGATGCTCTTTATTCTGCTATCTACCCAAAAGCAGCACTCAGATATTAGAAGGATGGACCCACTGTTTTGATAGAAGTCTGGAATTTGGAGTACAGATTTTAGCAGATCATTCAATAACTGCATCTATTCTAGTTACCTGAACTGGTGCAACAAAGCATGAGCTGTCATAATTACCTGGCTGCATACCAGTGATAAAAGCTGACATAGCAGATGTCCATAGCAATGGAACAAATAAATGAAGCACACTCTGGAAAATAACTCAGAAATCAAAGTTTTTATGCTAAAACTTGCATCAATTACTCTACATTGCTACAAGCAGACATTAAAAAATATTCCTGTTCTGTGATATATGTAGTAACTACAAAGCAAGACTGTACAACAGGACACTTATGGACAGCACTTGCTGAGATTGTGTGTCTGGGAGTCTCAAAGACACTGTAAAGAAGTTCCTTCAGGACATGCTCCATAAAACCCAAATCAAGTTGCTTTTTCACATCAAGGGAATTACCACAATCCTTTCTTCTTGTTATACAGAACCATGGCTCAATATCTTTAGGAGTACGGATAGACAGCTCTCAAGGCACAGGCAACAGCATCAATCCTGCCTTGCAAAAGTGAACTACACCATATTTATCAAAATATCTCAAAAGCTTGTGGCCCTGTACTGCACAGCTACAAGGTCCTAATGCAACATTAGACCACTTTGCCTGGAATAGAGAATGAAAACTTTTGTTTGCTTATATTTAAATGCATTCCTGCCATACCAACAAGTAAGAACAAGATACAAGTTTTGGCTATTTCAGAAAAACAGGACAGCATGGCACTTGGCAAGAAAACTTTCAATATTCTATAGAAATCAGATTTTCTACCTATAGCCAATCTGAGATTTTTAGTCAGATTACATCTATAAATGTGATGATAGGCAAGATGGAGACCTTGCAATCTAAACCAGCTTAGATTCTGCTCCTGTAAGTGGGTACTAAAAATGTACTTTTCTATACTGAACTCGGCTAAAGGGAATGACAGAACTCTAGATTTTCATCTGTCTACATTAAAATCATTTATTTGCTGCTTTCCCTCACTCCTCCAAAATAAGAATTATTTTAGGTTGATGTAAACTGAGGATCAGTAAAAATGCAGGAGGCGATATTGTTCAAATTTCTAAACAAGATTCTACAAAGCAAATCTTAAAGATGCCTGTAGTAAATTATGGGTATGCATTTATACTTTCCTTATAAAGTTACTAGTAAGTAGAAAAACAGACCTAAAGAAAAAGATAGAACAACATACGCTCACTCCTAAATTTACTTAAGTTTAAAATACATATTTCGGCTCCAAATTTCAGAAGAGGACCTTAACCAATAGGTAAGCTGCAGCTTCATTCCATGCCATTAAACAGGTCAAGTTTTACTGGTAGTGGTAGTATATCATTCTTACTGTATTAACAGCAATCATAGATAAAGCTATACACAAGCTGATGCCCAGACTCATACCTAAATTGGATCATAAAACCCCCCAGGTCTGGTGAAGTTAAAGACTCACATAGGTATTAACTGAAACTTCTGATCTGTAACAGGAGCAGCTTTTGAACCAGGAGATTTTAATAAGACAAAATCCAAATAAGGAACAATCTTAGGAGCAAAAGGTGTATTAAGACTTCTAGAAAATATACAAAAAGTCCAGATGACAGTGTGTAATCAGCCACTGTACTGATGAGTGTTGAAAAGGGAGAAGAATATTGGGATGAAAAATTCTATCTCAAAGGAAGGGAAGTGAAAAGAAAAACCCAAACCACTAAGAAACCCCACAGCACACTTGGCAATTCTGTCTTCAGCTAATATTTACAAGTAACTCCAAGGAGCAGCTTGTTATTTTGGCCTCATAATAGTGCTGACACACATAACACACAAATACTAACAGACATCAGCAAAAGATCCCTATCTCAAGTTTACTAAAGTCAATGCTTAATCAAGTGAACTAAATGCATTTCTTTGTATGTTCTGTAGGTTGAAAACCATTGTATCAGGAAAAACTATTCACAAGGAATTTGTACTACAGCAAGTGTTTTCCTCCTGAAATAGGTAATAGCATTTCTGCATCACAATGGAAAAATACTGTACTGAGCTGAACGTCTAGTTCATACTAGGAACAGCCACACTCTACATGCTACAATATTGATGCTACTGTACTACAAACTCAGTATAGTTTAGCATCCCTCAAAGAAATGCACACGAATAGATGCCAAGTTACGACATGTTCAGATAGTGTGCAAGAATCACTGAAGCAAAAGCAAATATCAAGTGTCCTCAAACACTACGAAGCTCCAGAGCCCATGTAAAAGCAGATGCTTACATGCCTTGTGAAAGCTTTAGTAAAAATGAGACACTTAACTACTGGTTTTCTAAAGTAAGATCAATCCATGAGGAGGAGTGGAAGGAAATTTTAACATTTCACAGCAATGTTTTCAGGATCAATTTATGAAATATGGCCAGAGACAATAAACAAAGCTTCTGAAAATTCAAAGTCCCATAAACCACATTCTTTAAGTCTCCCACTTTTCCATATAGACACAGAACTTAAAACAGTGAAGACTATCAATTCAGGAGCAGTTCTTAAATATATTTAAGTTTCATGTTACATACACGAACAATTTGCTAAATTCCAATAAGCATCTAAAACTAAACATTCTCTGAAGTTTACTTTGGGCAGGGAATTACCCAACCCTACATACAACTACAATAAATCTCCAAATAATTCCCGCAGTAGACTGACTTGACATATGACTAATTGGTATAAAATTAATTTTTACACTTATTTCCAAATACCTATAATATGGGATTTCAAGTATTTAGTTCTGAAATGTTGTTAAAACTGAAGAAACTTTAAATTTTGTAGGTTATTGTACAAATGGGAGATAGTTTTCTGGATTCGTTTCCAAAATTAGTATAATTCTTCTTGGCTTCTTTAGTGATTCAGTTCTACAATTATGTCCAAGGCAAAAGTGAAATACTACTCTTAAAATCACTGGAATTTTCTTATCTAATTGAAACCTTCTGAACAATCATCACTTTACAGAAGTGACTGAGCTACACTGCTCCTCCATTTTGTAGTCCTAAGAAACCTCTAGAAATACATAAAAGTTTTCGCTAAGAAAAAGGTCTCCTCTTCTGAAAAGTTGGAATCTCTCATTTATGTAAGGTCAAGCTTGGAGGAAGCAGTCTTCAGTAAAGCTCACAGGTTGGATAAGGAACTGAAAGGGGGAGTGAAAATATTATTCCTGAAGAAGTATAAACTTGAGTCTGATAGACAGGCCTACAATTCAGAAGTCTGTCACTTCAAATTCAGACACTCATTTTTTCCTGTAACTGTACACCAACAGCATGCAGATTTACTCACCATATTGGTCTCATTTTTGCAATAACATGTTTAATTAGAGAAGACTGACTTGAGTTCCATTTGGTTAAGATGAATACTGAAAGCAATGCCTACTTGATGAACTGCTCTCTTGCACCCAGCTAACTTCTCTTCACAACGAAATTCAATGGGTTGAGATGCATGTAGGGACTCAAGAAATTAACACAATTTAAATATATGGGGACACCATATACAGCATGGAGGATGGAGAGGCAGTACCAGGATCAGAATAGTCAACTGAAGATGTCAACTTGTCAGAACACATCATCATTCTCCAAGATCTCAGCAACTGCATCTAAGGGTTTTAATGCTTCACCATTACCCCCTTTTTCCATCCTTCACTCTCGGCTGAGTCATCTAAAAATGGTCACAACTATGAAAAAGCAGCTGTTGGAGAAATGGCAGCAACTGTACTCACCTTAAAAGATGGCTCAGCCTATTGCTTTTTGGGTGCTAACAACTAAGTTCTACTACTGTCAGCCATGATGCCTGACAAACCAAGCTGCTGAGCTTCAGTCACTTTGGCGCAGTCACCAAACTAAAAGCATGTTTGCACAGGGACTCCCCTTTTTCTGGGAACACAGGTTAAGTAATTCAGAAAGTAATCAGACAATAAAAATACTTACTATGTGACTGATTCCAGTTTCAGCCATGTCAAATACCACTGTTAAGGGCTTTCCATGATCTCTCTTGGCATAATGTTCTAACCAAAAAGCAACCAGTTTCTTTTTTTCAAGTTGCTGTTTAGGATCTCTTGTATGATGTTTCACCCTGAACCAAACTTGTGAGAAGAAAGAAATATACACATGAAAATTGAAATAGATCCAAGTTAAAAGAAAACATTATGCAAATAACTATACAGGATGCACTGAAATTTATTAAAATCTCAGTTTGTATTTTACATTTCCACTGATTTTGTGGCTACTGAAGAGCCAGAAAAACCACTGCATACCTTTCCACACCCCCCTCCTGTTGCCCATGTTTTTATACTGGAACTTCTAAACAATTGGAAATACAAAGAATTACAGCACAGAAGAAACAGTGAAGTGGAAAAATACTTTTCATGTATTTAAAGACTACTTACCTAGATTATAATTTCAAACTAAATCACACAGTCCTCAGATATGATATTATGTTCTGCATATATTCTAGGTATTGTTGTGGTTGTGAAGTTTACATTTCTTTTTCTGGTTTTCTACAGCATTGTAGTTGATGTGTTTTGAAAAACTATTTATACACACATTGTATTATATAAAAAGCAAGAGAACTTTCTAAAATAAAGTGAAAAAAATCCAGAAGATGAGCAACATTACATAAATGAAAGATCAATACATACCCTTCTGGAATAAGAAATCAATAATGTAGATAAGTTTTTCCAGTGAAAGTAGCATATTTCAGACTTTATAAAAGTGTCTGAAAGCAAATTACTGATTATACAGGGAAGTGATAAAAGAAATACTCAGGGCAGCCATGTGAAGAGCAGCCTTCATTTTTAGTGCCCCTACAATACCAAAATGAGCCAAGCCCTGAAAATAATTGTAGATATACTCTAATATTGTTCTCCCTGAAACTTGGGAAGTCTTACTAAAGAACAGATTTCTTCTCCATGTCTTTTACTTCCAATTGCAAATAAAAACTACTTTATGGCTCATGTAAAGAAACACACTTTTTTTAAACATAGAGTATTCGCCTGCTGCTTTAAGTTCGGAATTTCAAAAACATAGCTCTGTTCAAACACAGAACTTGTGAAACTAACTAGTAATTCTGGAAGATCCTCTTTAAAGTATAAAGTATCTATTTTACATAATAAAATGAGAATGGAGCATGTGGTCCAAGAAACACGCTTCTCAAACTTTGATTAACCAGGAACTTAACTACAATACAATCTGAGTTTGCATACCAAGTCAGATATTCTGACCCAGTTAACATTCACAGAATAAACATTTCAGGTATGGAAAATTGAAACATTAGTTATGTTGCAGTGACAATAAAATCAGAAATCATTATTTGACTTATACATTCTTGTCACGAAACAGCTGCATAATTTTCTCAGGCCATGGACTGATGCAAGTCATGTTTTTCTACTCTCCAGCCCGCTTGCCATCTCAAATTGAACTACTTAATATAATCACGCTCAGATTTCTAAATGCTATAAAAAGGTATCACTGCCACTAATTCTTGAACACTTTCCTCAAAGCCAAAGAGAATATCATGAAGCATAACAAAGCAGTAATTTCTTATACAGCAGTGATATCTCACAATAAGAAAAGGGACAGTTTGATAAAACACAGACATAGAATAAAAGCTGTATTTTTCTGGTCATGATTTTTTTGAAAACTAGTATATTGGTGTTTAAAACAGTAATTTCCATAAAAGATTGGATTGTTAGTGCATTTCTGGAAGTACAAATTAGCCTTGGTAAACCAAGGAAAATCAGAATTTCAGATTTACATTTTTGGGTTTCTTTCAAAGTAAATATGTGAGATGTTACAACAGATTGATTTATACAAAACAATACTGACCATCTATTATACACTATTTAAAAATACTCTGGAGTATTTCTTACTGTTTCCCTAAAGATCTTATTTCATTACTAGAAGCTAATGACAACTCTGAGACCATTCTCCAACAATTCTCAGATGTTCATGCTGTTACTGAACATTCCAATGACATCAGAAAACAAAACAAAACAAACATAGCAGACCTCCTGTGAACCACTGCAAGTATGCAGGCTGCTAGAAATGAACATTTATGCTAGTTATATACTCACCACAGTAGCTACAGAAACAATACACTTCAACAGGAAAGTTAAAACCTGCATTATTATTAGGATAAAGGTTTACGACTTTTAAAGACTGATGATAGTTTCTTCTCATTCCACTTCCGCGATCCAAAGATACTCAAAGTTACCAACTTCTCAATTTTTAGTAAAAACAGTTGCCAACATTTACCTAATTCTATTTTTAAAACATTTTTTCAAAATAGATGCTAAAGTGCTGGAAAGAAAATAATGATCAACTACTGAAAATATTGTATTCTTTATAACTTACATAATTTATAGCCCTCTTTATCATATCCATGCAGAAAGAGAGAACCACTTTCAAATAACCATTTTGGAAGGACAGATTCTGTCAAGTCTGCAAAGCCAAATGAAAGATTATTTCAGTAATCACAAATAATCACATTGTAACTTAACAGAAGTCACTAGAAATGCAGAATTCTAGCAACAAAATACAAAAATGTCTTTATAAACCACTTTCCAAGGCCTTTACTAAACTAATGCAAATATTGAGTTCATTTGGTATCTATTATCTTCTTCCTCTTATGCTGTAAAGTAGGATCTATTTGAGAAGAAATAAAAACTTAATGTAAGAAAAAAAGATGCAAATGTTGATTTTTCCTCCTATCTGCAGCTCTTCTTCCTCTATCCTTTAATTCAGATAGTGAAGTCCTGTACATAAAGCTCACCTTAAAAATATTCTCAGAGTAGAAAGCAATATATTCTACCTAGCGTATCAGACCAGTACTAGTATGATGAACAAAAGAGCCTTGGTTTTGGGAGATGTTTGTTGTTGTGGTTCCCCCCCCCTTTATTTTTTTTTAAGGACTCCATTCTAGCAAATACAAATACAAAGAGATAACTGCCTTCCTTCCTCTTAAACAACCTTTCAGCAGTCATATGGAATCACAAAACTGAGACAGCACTGGTCAACATAAAAAGCAATATTGTATTTTTTTTAACTGAGCAGAAAAGTTCTTGATCAGCACTGTAGTACTTACAAAACCTTTAAAAGATGCTTAATTAAGCTACACATAGAAGTCAGTTGTAGTTCAACAGGAAAGCAACATGAAGTCATTATATAACATAGCTTACCATTAACTGTATATTCTTTCCTCCACTGCAAGCTTTCATCAATCATCTTTAATGTATCATCCACAATATCGTGACGCCAAATCAGATAATTTTCAACCCATTTATCATCCTGCTGAAGTCTTTCCACATCTCTAGAATCATATTTATCTGATTTATCTAGCAAATAAATAAATTATTGTAAGACTATAGTATTTGCTATGAAAACCATGAAAAGAAGATTTATCAAGTTTCAATATAAGCATCTACTAGGGACACAGGATTTCTTTTACAGTCTTAAACAACAGACAAAGCATAGCATAAGAAATTAAAACCATCTATCTACTGTAATGACACTTAAGAACACTACAAAATTACACAGTAAAAAACATTTTCTGTGATTCCTATTCAAAGAAGAACCATTAGAAAACAAGAATGTGTGTAGGTCAGGTGTAATTTTTCCAAAAATGGGTTTCTGTAATTAGCACAAATTAGTATATAGTCTAAGAATGCATGTACTGATAAATGTATACATTGAGCATCACTAGTTCAAGATTGAGTTCTGAAACTTGTAGGCATCAGCATGTCATACCACAAAATGTCAGAGAACAGAAGTTAAAATTACTGGTTTTGACCACACACTATATATAATTGCATTAAATAAAACTGTTTTCTTTAAAAAGATTACCCATTCTACACTTGTTATGCATTGTTACCTTCCTGAACAGAAACTACATGCAACTCTAGAGCAGCACAAAACCCTCAAGCCTCAAATTCTTCTATCAGGTTAAAAACAAGTACTCCAGATGAAACAGGAGTTGCTGCTACTCCTTATTTTATGGTTTTAAACAGGAAAGTTTGTAAAATACAAATGCCTAATTGGACCTATTTTTATTGTAGATATGCTTAAACCAAGGCTCAGTTTTCAGATCAATGCTCCTCTTTGAGAAATCTGCATATTTGGAATGTAAATCAAGTAAAAGCCCATGATAGAAACAGGCTTCTGAAAGCAATAGACACTGACACACATCTCTTTGCTAACTACTAAAAAAGCACAAGCTCTTAAACTATTCACTTAAATTTGTGATTAGCATGAAAAAGAGTGAAGACTGGTTGTTAATAAAATAGACATAAGTTTTCACATACCAGAAAGACTATTCCTGTCAGCAGTAATAAACTCAAAATAACTACTTTCAGGGCCATCAGAATTAAAATAACTATATAGAACTGTGACTGGATGGTTTAGGGATGCGTATTTTAACCAGCCATCTTAACTCTGAGGAAGATGTTCAGAAAAAGATACTATTAAATTCTGTTAATATTTTTAGTTTTACTGGCCCCACATGCAAAGATATGACTTATTTTACTTGTCTTTCAAGTTACACTGTTTCTTCTCATAATTAGCCAATATAGCTGTAAAGAAGATAAGAATATTTTAAATGCACCTATCCAGAGTTATTAAAGTTGCACTCCTCCAATGCATCTCTTCACATCCAACTGCTTTTCACATGATCTACTCTATTTCTTCTTCATTAGGTTTCAAGTTTCTTCTTCCTTTGATCCCATCCCATTACTTTACCTTGGTCCTTAGCCAAGCCTACAGTCAAATGCCACTTTCCTTAATCTTAAATCCCCTACTTGCTCCTCTCTGTCCAAAAGCCTCCAATCCACTAAAAATTCTCTTTCAGTTCCTTTATTCATCATTTCCATACTTGCACCAGAGCACTCTCTTCCTGTAATCTAAGCCCAGTAAAGTGAACGCTCAGCACAAGACTGAAATGCTGTCCAACTTCTCCACAGCTCTGGGTCAACCACAGATAGAACAAGTTGCAAAGATTTTCGGTATTAAATTTTGCAGTCTCAACTGCTCATTTGAGATTTGATTATTCCCCCAATGATTAATTATTTGGATCATTTTGCCTGAGAAACAATAACGGTACCTAGATTCAAATTAGAATCATGAAAATTAATATTGGAGAAGATTTCTGCAGGTCATCTCAGCCCTAACCCTTGATCACAGCAAGGCTACCCTCCAAGTTCAAACAGGTCACCAAGTAGCTTTTTCAGTCAAGTTTTGAAAACTCAGAAGGGTCAAAAGGTGTAACATGCATCCCAACCCAAATCTCCTGTCATGTACAGTAACTAAGCTGGCACATCCAGTCAGCTACAGTGAGAGAAGCACTAGCTTATCTTAGCCATGGCATACTACCTATTTTATGCTGTGGAATATTTAATATGGTATGTTGGCTATTCAGGCCATATAGCTATATATATGTATTCAAGCCATAAGATACTCATAGCTACAGCAACATAGGACTTTATAAAACAGATTCAACATCAGTATGACATGTACCCAGTGCATTAGCTACCTTACTTCAACTTGATTTGACAACCTGTAACATACGCCATCTTCCAGCTAAGTGACCGCAGTTAATCAACCAGCCAAGTATTTTTCTTTATTTCAAACTCATATATATCCCATTTGTATAAGGGATTTGGGTACTGTGTAATTAAAAAGAAAAATCACACACCACCAGGTAAAAACTAAGAGGATAACGTTTGACACTGCTTTGAGGCTCTCTTTACTCTCACTATTTGAGAACAGAACTGTGAGATTGACAGAACAGTTCATCTTGTGTCAAATAATTTAAAAACATTCACATATCACTGTGGAACATGCCTACAGCACACGTTTCTGGGCCACTAACAAATTTCCCCAAATTCTGATCTTAGATTATTTTAACAAAATAGAAATTTAACTTTGTGAATATTTTAAGGAAATTAAAGTGCAATGGAGAAAACATTTTACCCAAACTTTCATCATTAATGAAAAGCAAGCTGGATTCAGAAATAGGGACAGTTGAAAAAAAATTAAAAAATTTTTCTTCTTTTCAGCAACTAAATTCTCAACAAGATGACACGTGTAATTTAAATTTACATATATGCTACAACACACACTAAACCAGGAACAACTAGCCAAATTCTGCCTTCACAGGCACTCGCAGGAGGCAGGTATTTCAATCAGGTAAGCTTATACTGATTGAACAGGAACACTGATTATTGTTTTAACCCTACCCAATTTATTCAATTCTTGCTACAAAATAAGTAAGATTTAAAAAGAGACTGTGAACACAAAATAAAGTTTTTTATCTTACACATATATATCAGAATGATATGAATATGCTGGAGTCCTTCCAATATGCCAGTCATTCAAAATATGTCAATTCAGAGGATGAATTCCTCTTCAAAATTGTGCATTTCCATAATGCTACAGACATCTGGAAGCTTGCTTTCAAACTATGCTGTGAAAGAATCCGAATGTTTCTAATTTTAAATCACTCATGGAACACCTGACTGTAGTTACTGGGTTATTAGAAATTCCTGGAGTTAAAACAGAATTAATTGAAAGAAAATAGACCTTTGGGGTTCTCAACACAATTTAAACATATCCTGCACAACAGGTAAGAGGCCAAAAAGGAAACAGAACTTGAGGGGCACCCAGATGGAAATTCAGGTGAAAGTATAAACTGAAGTATCTTACCTCAGACAATCTCCTGCCCACTTAAGATACCTGTGAATATATATTGATGCTTTTCTCACTAGAAAATTAAGTGCCTGTTACTTCACACCTGCAGAACTGCCAGTAAGATGCTGAGACACTAAGTTCACTCACCAATCAGGGAAGAGGACATCTCCGTAATTAAGTCCATAAGAAAATGAATTTCATAACGTATTTGGGATACACCCAGCTTGACCCAGAAATAACACAAGGAACAGCATTCATAGCTACTTCTGTTCAAAAAGAGCTTGTGAAAGTAGAACAGCAGTGCCAGGCTTCCGTGAAACCTTTCACAGGTAAGACAGCTGTCCAGAAGCTTAGAAACCTGGTTCCTCCCTCAGCCCAAGAGATTCAAACCTTACTGTGTCCAAGGATAGTTCCACAGCCAGTAGAAGAGGCAAAACTTGGATGGTGCAAGACTTCTCTGTTGAGCCGATCAGCTGTGTATAAACTAAGCAAGACTCAGATCCAGAAAAGCAAGAGAAAGCATGATCTGCTTAGCAAATTTTATATTTGCTAGAGAATTAAAATAGAATTAAGTTATATATGACAGAGTAACAGTGACAACAGCAAGAGGCAGCCAAAATTAGCTCTCTTTATTTGCTCAGCTGAAAGGCCTTCAGGAAAATTTGAGTGACCCAGAAGATTAACCTGGTCTCAGACAGAAATTTAAAGGTTTCAAAGTTCATCATTTTATTTAGCCTTTTTTAAAATAACTACTTAAAGTTACTTTAATTTCTTTACTGAACATTTAGGGTCAAGGGAGAAGACTGGGAAAAAACAGAAAAAGTTCCTTTTGAACAGCTGCTTCTTATTACTCATCTTCCTTTTTTTCTTGCTTAAGTGAGGAGTTCTGTTCTTTCTATAACCACATTCTACCCTTTTAAGAGTTGTCTTCAAGCTGAGAAATTGACAGTGAAATTCCATGACTTAATTACTATATTCCAACATAAAGGATCCTATGTAACACAAGACAACAGCTCTGAAAAGAACTCCAGAATCATGCAAAACTAAATGAACACAAAATTCACTACAATACTTTCTCTGGAAGAATTAATGAAATTATTTGATGCATAAATTTTAATATCCCTTCATGGTTTTTTACCAGAAAATCAATGCTGTACTGCTGAGTTTTCTTCTGGCACTCATGTTTTAGAAAAATAATAGAAATCTGAGAATATTCAACAAGAATTTAAAAGACTACAGGACTGAAAAACAGGGAGTACAGATAAGTCCCATGCTAAATTCATCCAGAGAAGTTCAGACTTCACAACCTGTAAGAATGACTCCTCCCTTCAGGAAGAATTCTTATATAGAAAAGAAATGTTACAGAACAAGTCATACACAAAGCTAAGTAGGGATAGCAACTATATACCTTTGAATAGAAACCCCAACCACTTCATCATACAAAAAAATTGGAAAAAAGCAATTTCAAAGTATGTCAAGTGCTCCATTACACAAAGGCTCTCAATTTAACTACTGCCTTCAGCTATTTCAGCCAGTAAATCTCTGCTCTGAAATGGTCATAATTATTCATCTGACCTTGGCTAGAAAGAGGAAACCCATTTTAATTGGCTGTTGATGCCAAACATGTTAAGCTAAGGACTATAACCATTCAGGTATGTGCCTTCAATTGTTTAATGAGGAAATCAGAAAGGCTGAAAACAATTTAAGAAGGTCAGTAGTCAGACAGGGACAGGGATGAGGAAAACAAAACTACTTCCACCCATTAAGGAGTTATTCCAACAAAATCAAGCAGAAAAACAAAGAATGTCTAACTCCACAAGATAAATTTAAACTTTCAGCAAAACTGAACACTGTCAGTGAAAATAAAGACTACTTTTATGTAAAGCTTATTAATGCTTGAGCTTTCTAGTGAAGTTTTTATCCTATCTATACGCCCCCTATCTTATCCATCTAGCATTTCTCAGCCTGAAAGCCAATAAAATAGATTTCCAGAGCATAAACAGACATAAGAATGTATTCAAAACATTACCTTAAGAGTTTTCTACAACAGTCCTATCAGTACACTTTTTGAGGATGCCCCATATGCCTACAATTTTATTTTTAATTGGACAATGATTAACAAAACACATTTTGCTACTGGCTTAGAGAAAGTCATGATGAAATTTAATCTTTTTAATTGGAGTGGGAAACCTCTCTCACAAAATCTTTTTCTGAAAATTAAGTTTTGCCTAAAGGAGACGGGAAGAGGATGAAAATGGAGAGGGGCAGGGAATATAGGCAATAAGAAGTGGTAAATATGCAAAAGGAAGGGTGGAAAAGACTTATTGAACGGAAAAAAATTCTACCAAGATTTAATTATAAATAATTTCCACTGTAACATTAAAATGGAAAGAGCTCAGAAATAAAAGCTAATTTTAGAAATCCTCTACAGAATGAAAATGCACTAAGACAAGACTGTTTCCTAGAAAACATTGTTAGTACCAGTCAGTACTAGAAAATAATCTTTTGTTTTCATCGTTCCTGTCACCACTCAAATCATTTACATCACCAACTCTCACAAAGAATCCAAACAGACAAAACAGAAATTAGGCCCCAAAACTGCAAAGACAGTTCTGTCCATTTATCACATCAGACAGCATTTGCTAGTTTATTGGACTAATAGGAACTTTTTAGTATTGGAAATATGCCTTTTAAACACAAGTTTTAATTACTAGGGATATACATTCCTCACAGAAACTGAAGTTGTCTTTCAAATACAGCTAGAAAATTAACTGAAAAACACACCACCACAAGATCTCAGTTAACATTAAACATTGCTTTGCAGATAAGATCTCACAGTGGCCAAGCTTTCCTTCTTGAACCCCTCAATGGTCACATTTGCTGAACAACTTCAGCAAGAAAGTTCTCATCCAAACTCCAGGGAAATGAGCCAGTAAGGTTCTCTGACAATGTTTTTTCCAAACTCTATCTGGCTACTAAAACAATTCTTCAATTTAGTCACATAAATGAAACAATAGTATAATTCCAAAAGCAGATTTCTGGTGCTTCTAATTGCTTAACAAAACTTTTCCCACCCTACCTTGAAAACTGTTAAGACCGTAGTATATTATTTGGTTGTAACTTTTATGTGAAATATTCCAACACGTATTAGATGTGGCCATTCAATATTAAACTTTCCTGGACCAGCTATATATTTCTGTATATTCTACTTTAAAATATTGTATTCTGCCAATAAATAATTTCAACCAAAAATCATGATTTCAAAGGCCCTCTAAGTTCTCATTTGATAACAATAATAAATATTACTGCAAGACTATCACAGCTTTTGTGACCACTAGCAATTTTCTACACAGGGGAGAAACCAGTAACTATAAGTTCCATAACATGGAAGCATCATTTCATAACACAAACACCAAGCTTCTAGAATAATCAGGAACACTGTTTTCCTCAGAGGAAAAATAAACAGTGGCAGCCGCACCCCCCAGAAACAAAGCTGACCGGAAATTTTACTCAAATTTTAACATTTGCAGCTCACCTGTAAATGGAATTAGGTTCATTCTGTAGAGGCCCACAATACTATGAATATACTAAAGTTTCACAGAACGCATCAGTTTTGAAGTGTACCTTGGCAGTGCCCTGAGTTTTGAAAGCAGACTAAAACTGCTGGATATCAAGCCATCACTTGCACCTTTACAACACAAAGTCACATATTTTGGGGGTGTCTGCACGCGTGCACTTCCACACCCCTTTTCAATCAAGAGGAAGCATAAAAGAATACATTTTAGAAAATATAAAGGTTGAAGGATCACAATAAAACGAAAACCTTACATTTTCCCCCTTGAAGTGGGCATGGCAACATTAATTTGCTTGGAGTGTTCCCAAATTCAAGGGAGGGACTTACAAACGTAAACTCAAAAAATCCTAATCCTATTTTCTTGAAAGGGCTAGGAGCCCTGAACCATGACCCAAAAATGGGCCTACTGAGAAAATGTGTTCAAAATACTGCAAATAGGATTATAGCTTACCTTGCAATGGTATTCAATTATTTTAATGGCTGTAACAACCAGCCTAACAGAGACTTCATTATAGCTAGAGAGATCTGTAGAATTTCAAGATTGTAAGGGATAGTTCAGCTGAAAAGGTAATACTCCCTTTCAGCAGCAACTGTCCCAAAGCAGTTCTAGGCTTTCCAAAGTCATTTTTTATTAGTGTGACCCTAGTACAGTAGAATAGAAAGCAAGATGAATCACCTGTCATAGAAAAATATACACATTAACCAAAAACACTAACAGTCAAAAGAATTTATGATTTCAGATGATTTCCACTCTCCTGAGCCTGAGCTTTAAGACTGCCAAAGACATCTTTATTCACAGAGAAATAACAAATGGCAAAGTAAGCTCTCTCTTCAAGACACTATTCTAATAATTTTGTCATCTTGGCAGAAATACAGGTCATCTCTAATCAAGGCCTAAGTAGGTTCTTTTATGAAAGTTAACAGAGCAACCACGTGAAACAAAGTTGCACCACCCTCAAGACCCTCAAAGTTTGCAAGAAAAATGCTACAGCTAATCACAAAGAACTCACATAAGAGCGCAACCTTTATGTAAAAAGTAGTAACTAGGTAACCTCAATAATTCTTACCCAGAACATCAAATTAAGGCATGCGTTTGCAGGATTGAGGCTTATATTAAAAGAGATGCATGCAACTCTAACTACTGGGCATTTACTATATTTCCAAAATTAGATAGAACATGTTTTTAATAAGAAGTCTTTAGACACTCATAATAAAACATACTGCTTACTACAGTTGTTAGCATACTCTACTACTATATATTCTTTTATCATAAGCAATGCAAATCAACCTAGAAATGAAAGGAAATCCCTCTAAGCTTAACCTGGCATTCCCCTTCCTTTAGGCATCCCCAGCACCTCCTGGCCTTCATTTACATGTTTAAAAGCATATACATTTAAGAACTGGGTCGGACACGCAGCATGATTTTAATTAAGGCCAGCATGAATTTGAAGTGCAAGTTACTCTAGAAAAACAACTCTTTCCTTGACGAACTAGTCGAGATCAGAATTCTCCGCCCTCCCCCCCCTACGTTTTGTGTCCAAAAAGCACCAAGCACAGCAGCGTCCCAGACACCACACTACAGCCAACCCAATGTAACTGTGAGTCCAAGGGCCCCAGACCTTTACCCCAACATGTCTTGCTGCCCAAGACAGAGACCCAGAAGAAAGCACAGAGACAACGCAGAAAAGCTCCAGCTTTCTGCACCATCCCCACCCGGCAGCACGGGCCTCCTGAAAAAAACAACGGTAGAAAACACCCACTCACCAGGGAAAGCGAGGATACAGAAAGCCCACGGGCGAAAAGCGACATCGGGCAAGTCCCAGAGACAACATGCAGGGAGCCGGGCCCGCCGCCCCCAGCCCCACCACCCAGGCGCTCACCTGGCAGGTACTCCGCCTCGAAACGCCGTCTAGTCTCGCCTATCAGCGCGGCCTTCTCCTGGCGCTGCTGAGGGGAAAGAAAAAACGGGCGGAACGTGAAAGGAAATAAGAGAAGGGCCCGGGCCTGAGGCAGCCCCAGCCCCTCACCCGCACGGCCGCCCCCACCGCAAGCCGCTGCCGGCGGTCGGGGAGGGGAGGCCCGGCGAAGGGAGCGAGCAGGCGGGCAGCGGAGGGGCTCACCTCGGCCATGTTCCGTGGGAGCCGCCGGCAGCGGCCGCGGCGCGGCAGCAGGGCCCGCGCCCGCCGGGGGCACCGATAAATGGCGAGGGCGGTGTCGCGTGACCCCGGCGGAGGGGGGCCGGGGGCGGGGCCTCGAGGCCGCCCGCCTCCCGGCGGCGGGGGGGGGGCCAATCACCCAGAAGCTTCACCACGCCGGCCCCGCCCCTTCCCCGGCGCCTGGATCCCCGCCCCCCCACCCCTCCCCGCCGGCTGGCTTCGCGGCCCCGCCCCCGCCCGCCCTCCCGTCATGCTCCCTGCGGCGGGAGTTTCGGGGCGCGCGCGCGCGCGCTCCTTACGCTGCCTTCCCCCTTCTGCCCCGCCTCCCCTCGCCCCCTCCACCGCCTTTCCGCGGCCGGGGCGGGCGCCGGGCAGGGCCTCGCCGGCGCGGAGCCCGCGGTCGCTGCTGCTCCCTAGGAGCTGGCGTGGCCCCTGCCGGGCCAGTCGGGGAGACCGTTAACGGTTGCCAACGGCTTTCGGAGACGGGATCCGGGCTGGGGCCTGCTGCCGCCGTGGGAGCCGCTGGGCGCGGGGACGGGGGCGGTACTGGGGCCCCCCCTCAGCCAGCCGAGGGGGGGGCTGCCCTGCCGGGGCGTCTGAGCCAGGCGAGGGGCGCCGGTTCCTACCCCGAAAGTCGAGCGAAACTTGGTGAGACTGCTGCGCTTCCCTCGGGGTCCCCGGGGTCTTGTCTGGTGGAGGGAGGGAGCCCACTCGGCCGCAGATTGGCTGCAGTCTTCCCCAGAGAGCTTTCTCCTTAAAGAGCCTATATAATTTTAGCTGAGAATTAATTATATTTATTAATAAAGCCTACACTTGAGGGAGCGCTCTTAAATTTGAGAATTGAAGCCACCCATGCATTCCAGTCCGCTCACTATACTTGTGGAGCTGACACCTTCAATTCAGTCACACGCACAGGGCATGTATAATTTGACTTGTTTTCTTTTAATTTATATTAAGTTATGTAGCTTTTGATGAGCAGCAAATTCATGCTTTGGTAAAAAAATACATTTCTGAAATATGTTTCCATTACTTAAATCTCTCAGTACAAAATTGCTTAACTTCATTTTAATCTATGAGATTAAAGCACATGCTGGCCTCATTCTGAAATTAGTGTATGTCATTGCTTTGCAATGTATAGTTTTTCTTAAGGATCAGTGCAGCTAGTCCCAGAACGATTTAACTTTTTTGTTGTTTGCTTTTGTAGATGGAAAATGGCCAGATAGGTTAAAATTTCCACAGAGAAATAATCATGGGAAAAATGGTGATGCATACATTTTTCTTGTAGAGGAACATACATAAAGATAAAGATGGTTCTAGGTGAGCAAGAACAATTCTTATCCTACAATGGAGAAGTCCTTATATTTCATCTGTCAAAACCAAATCACGTGGAGGACGCAGCTGATAAAACAATGAATTTATGTGTCAGAAGAATGGCGTTCAACAGAGACACTAAAATGTTTGCTCAGAAGTCTTCTGGAGTATTCAGCATGCGTGCCAGTCACTTAAAAATGGAAATAATTTATTGTAGCTGCACAACGGATTCCAGAACCGGAATTATTCTTCCCTGCATTTTGATGAAAAAGAAAAAAAAGAACAATGTTGTCAAATACCTTTTATTGTTGCTTCACAGCTCAAATCAATTTGAGCTGTCCTTTCATTTTAAATTGGATTATGAGCTGAAAGAAGACATCAAGTTGTTCACTGGCCCTTCGGTCTTGTGGAGGCATGCCAACAAGCTGTTCTACATCTCTCCCAACACCTGCACAGTTCTAAGTGCTCCTGTTCAGCTTTCTTCTGTTGTGTGGACAGGTGAAATTGAGGATGAAGGCACTGTTGTTTTAGGGATAAGAACTGCTCACCTGTCGGATAACAAAGATGACGATGGATTTCCTACTTCAGACAGAGCCATCTGGGGTAGTGAGTTCTTTGGATACGTAATTGAAACACAAAAAACGCTAAGCGGCACATGCTTTATGCCTGATGCTTACAGCAGAGTGGTATCTTCTGTCTACGTCTGCAAGAATGAGACATTGAAAAAACAGCCCCGAATATCACTTGTCGCCATAACTCAAAAGAATCAGTTTATTTGGTTCCAAGATGGGCTCCCTAAAGCTGTTTGTGAGCTTCCTTATGAGAAACCATGTTCAGTAACAAGAGCTGTAACCAGTAGTAATGATTTGCAATTTATTGTGTCTTTTGACTCCGGAAACGTTTGTGTTGTACAAAGGGGAGAGAGTTTAAAGGTATTTGTGGCTTTAAATGGGTCCTTTTTTCTATTCTACCTTTTTCTGTATACATTGTCTTACTGGAAGTTTCTGTGACTGAAAAGCTACATGTTTAAATCCTACAGATTATTTTTTTTTTCTTGGTTCTTCCTAAAGTATGTCTAAAGTGTAATGTATGAGCTTGTTTTGCTTTCATTGCTTGCTTATATATCTGAAAATTAACCCAGGATTCTATTATTTAATAATATATTTTATGAATCTGAGCCAAAGTTTGTGTTGCTAATTGAAAACTTTCATAGTATGAGAACTTGAAGTTATAGTTATGAGTGTGCCCACATAATTTGTGTTAAAGTAAACTGATATAATTGCAAAGCACAAACTTGGAATTTTAAACCCTTTTAAACAAAAAGTGTTGTTTCATGAAAATGAGAAGAGGCCTTGCTTTTGTTTCCTACAATCAGGAGAGACAAAGTTAACTGCTAGGGTTTTGTAATACTCTGGCAAGAAGACTTACATAACTCAGGAAATGAAAGGTTGTCCCTCTCAGTCATCAGCGTTATTGTACAAATTTGCCTTTACCTCTCAAAAATATTTAAGTGTACAGTTCAACAAAGTTATTTCTGAATGTCAAATTTATAATGTGAAAGGTATAAGTGATCTGCAAGTATTACTGGTTCTAAATAAACGGAACAGCATTCAGCTGTTTGAGTATACTGAAAAGTGATCATCTTTGCAACCTGTACTCTGGAAAGTGATCTTTAAAGAGAAATGTCTAATTTTTCCAAGAGTTACATAGGTTCTAAATGGTAGTGAAGCATGAGAGCTTGAAACTTCTTAAAACACTGTATTCCACACACCTGAATATGTAGAAAGCAGGCTTCACCAAAACAAAATCTCAAGTAGAAGATTTATTCAAATAAATGTATTTTTAAACCTCTTCTACTGTAGGTGGCTTCCAAATGGCAAAAAGTGAAGTCTGTTCTGGTGGATGATTTTATTGGCTCTGGAAGTGAGCAACTGTTACTGCTTTTTAAGGATGACTCCAATACCGATGTGCTAAGTGCGTTCAAAATAACAGATCTTGGAACGGTCAACTATGCAGTAAGTTCAGCTTGCCTTTTTTCAGCTACTCAGTCTGTGTTTACTAAATTAAGAAAACCTCAAGAAATCATTAAAGTATTGGTGCGAAGTGAAATTGGATGTCTGCTGTGAAATGCCCTGAAGTTTGAATACACAATGTTCTGTGATGTAATCATAAATTATCTGAAGAGATTATTCTACTTCCTTGATAGCAGCAATGTTCTTTTGGGAGATTAAAATAGTACGGTTGCAAATGCTTTACATATGTAACAGGTTTGCTACAAAGTTTACCTTTTGGCTAAGTTCTCTTAATTAAGGACATAATGCTTGTTAATTATCTTCTCATAATTGGGTCTTTCCATTATGTACTATCAACCTCTAATTGCTTTCAGAAGATAAGATTTTTCTTATAAAATAGAGTGATTCTTCTTGTTTTCTGTATTTTCCCCCAGGTTTTTAAAATGCTGTGTAACAATCTGTACCTTACTTTCAGCTTTTAATTAATTCAGGGTTTGGTTTTGTTTTTGTTTTTTTTTTTTTTAGAGTGGTATTAATTATAAACATGTTCCTGCTGCAGAAGGATTGCAAGAGAATAGTTTGCTTACTGTCCGAGCCCTTAAAACAAGATTACAGGTTTGTACTCAATAATTCTGCCTCCATATTTTCTCTAAATTACTTTTCTGTATCATTTAGTTATCTAAAGTGTGAGTTTAATGGTACTGTTTTTATTGGACAAGTGGTTCAGGGAGAAGACAACGTTGTTAAGTATCCATTCTTGAATGAGTGGTAGCCTGTGTTTCATTTTTCTCTGTCATTACAAATGCATTTGGGTAATTGGAAGAGTCCAATATTAATTAAAATTTTGAGATCATGCCGAAGTTATCCTACCAAAGCTTCATAACGGTCACGTTATTCATATATGTTTAAATACCAGTTTAATAGCATTAGAACATTTACTTTTGCTCCACATTATGGTAGTGCCAGGTTCCCAGTGAGTGCTGATGAGTGGCAGTTAATCCTGAAGATAAAGAAGAGTGTTATGGTCTGTGTCTTTGTCCATGGACTTCAATGAAGCTGGCTTTTACTTTTGCCCAAATTAGTGACCATGGTTATTTCACCACCTGCTGATGTTTTTCCTCCTGTTACAAGCAGTTTTATAAGGATAATTTTGCAAAGTACAGTTGGTAAAGCTAAAATGTATCCTTTTAATTAGCATAATTTATAAAACAAGCTGGAGGGAACCTGCCAGAGTCCAAGTAATCAGAGGGAATATATAATCTCCCTTCTTTCTACATTTCATCCCGTTAGTAAACATCCAGCATACTCTCCAAGATGTTCTTTTTCAGCATTGTGTGTTGGCCTATACCAAATGGGTAATAATTGACAAAATAGGAAGATTCTTTAAAGAAAAAGAGCTTTAGGAGATAGTGTAAATATCAAATTGAGTCAATGATGGGAGGCTACTGTTAGTTGCCTAAGAATGCTTTAAATATGAGATAGGAGGTAATTATTCCCATCATTTGAGAAGTAGTGAAAAGTTAAGTAGGATATTGTGGCCATTTTATCTCCAGCTTTTAAAAATGAAGGAAATTAACTGGCAAAAGTTTAGTACTGGAAATAAAGGAGGACTATGACCCATACGGAAAAGACCGAATTAAAAAAAAAAAAAATTCTAGTTCTAATTACAAGAGAGATGTCTAAAGAGATAGTATAGATCTTCTAAAAGGTAAAAGCTGATGTTTGGAGAACACTGAACAATATTTTTTTTCCCTTTCTGGAAGGCACAAGAAAATAGGAGTTGGATTAATTTCAAGGACCTCCTGAGGCTCCTTCCAACCCTACATTTTTACAGGTCTTCAGTTTGCATGTTGGAGGCCTATTGCAGAAGTGCAAGCTTCCTTACAAATGCATTTTTTTTTTCTGTTTCTGGATTCTTTTGGATAATGCTGCACTCTTTCCGTACTCATTACATTACTCCTCTGCAAAACAGAAATTAGTTTCAATCTCTCTCATTTGTTACTCCATCTACTGTTGTAATGAAGATTGTCCACCCTCCCATTGACAGATGTACATTCTGTGTAACTGTGTTCTATGGCTTTGTTCTTTTAATACACCAACTGGCTTTCATCTGTACAGCTCTGAATTTTTGTTAGGATCAAACTAATAGTCTGGTTTGCCCGTTCTACTGGTTCTGCTGGAAACAAGCCACTGCCTGGAGATTTCATGTATCATGTGTTGATAAAGTTCTTAGAGAGACACAGAATCCTTTATAAGACCTAATTTATTTATTTACTTATTTTAAGATCTTTTTGATCTCTAATTTTTGAAGTCACATGCTAGCATAAGCATTGTAAGCAAATTGAAAATCTCATGTGTTAATGCTGTAAATCTTTGAAATTGTCATGCTGATGAATTTGGAAATAGGTATAGATATTTCTTTTTAACCTTACTGTTGCCTTCCTTGTTGAGCAACCTTGTTCTGTATGTTTCCTTAAACAGTGAAATACTCTTGCTGGTTTTTGTCTTCTGATGTATAACTGAATCTTAAGGATGATTGTTTTGATGCAATAGTGCATGGATCCTGCTTAGCTTGGGAATTTCCAAAGGTTATTTAGCCTTGGAATGGTGTCTCTTGATATTTATCATCAAAATTCAGGTCTTTTAGAAATTTGCAATCTAATTATGCTTTGACAGTCTGTATGGAAGCTGGTCTGATGAATGAAATAGCAGATGTAGCCCTTTTTCATATTCTGTTGCTTACCCCTTATTTCACATCTGCATAACTGTTTTTTAGCCATGTGAGAACTTCGTCAGGACCGAATTATGGTCCACTACATATAAGTAGGCTGCCTTTAAGTTATACACAGCAATACATATAAGTTGCATTTTGCAGGTAGTGAAATGAAAAAATATATCAGTCTGAATTTTTAAACTGTTCTCTGTTTATCTTGTATACAGTCTTTTGGGCCTGAGTCCAGCCTTTTCTACTCTGAAGATTTGTTTTCTTTAACACTCATTTTAGTATCTTCAGAAGATGACTTCCTTTGGCAGAGTACTGCAGTTATATTACAACAGCTGAGGCTATGGGGGTTTTCAAGGTTTTAGTTTGCTGTTCAGGCAGAAACACCACGACGCAAAAGTGTCTTTTTATGTCCGCTGTCCTGTTCTACCCCCAAGTATTTAACTATTTTGTAAGGATTATAATGCCAAATTCTTTTACCTATAATTAACTTGTTTCCTTTGACTTGCTTTGTCTCTTTTGGGGCAGGTATTTTTCAATCCTTACTGATGTTTTATTGAATGGCTGCAATGTCTAATTGTTTTGTCCTCTTTCTGATAATGTTGATTTGGTGGTGGGTAGAAGGTGATTTAAGAAATGTTCTGTACATTTGATTTTTATTACTATTTTTAGTTTAAGTATTTATTTTTCCATCTGTTGCTGTGGATTGACCCATTTTTTTTGTTACTTTTTCATAAGGGATTCTAGTCACTCGAAAAACATAGAACCCGTTATTTACCATATGAGCAGCTTCAGCCTATAGATCTCTGAATTATGTTCCTGTCTGGCTTTTTTGTCTACTTTTTCCATTTTACCTTTGCTTTTCCAAATATTTTTTAGTCTTATCAATCATGAATCTTCCTTTCCATTTTCTTTCCTTTTTAAAAGTGCTGCAGTTCTTGGTTCAGTAGTTTTAGTTCTGTATGTATGGGTACATACATAAATAATTTATAAATAATTTATTTATTTATGAGTTCTGCCGCTTTAATTGCAATCTGTCAAGGCACTTGGCTGTTCCACTTACTACTAAGCCTCTGCCTTAATTTTCTTTGCTTTTGACAGTGATTCACCTGTTCATGATAGATTTACTCACATCTCTATTGTGTTTGGCTCTGGACTGCCTTTTTTTTTTATGTTGATGTTTATTTTCTCTTTTAAGGTGAAGTAGTTTTATTTTCTTGGTGCAAAGACTGTGACTTCTGCTGATGCTTGTTGCGCCGTACATCTTGGCATATAGCAGAAAGGATGTGCATGTCACTTGTTCCAGAGAGAGTTGATGGGGGCACTACCCAGGATTGGGTTTGCCATGTGGTAAATTTCACGTCTCTTCCTTGTGTTGCTTTATGAGGAAAAAGGGCTTGCAAAAGTCAGGTTGGTCAGCAAGCATACATCAGTGAATCTTTGGCTGTTTTGACTGATTCTCAGTCTGCGCTTCCCCATTTGCTTTCTGTTTCTCAGTTGTTTATACCAGAGTTGTTCACCAATGGGAGTAAATAATGGTTTGGTATTCTGATAAGCTCAATCAGGAAGGTATTGTAGAATCATCTTTGTTCTTAACTCTTTTCTTCTCCTGACTCAAATCTAACACTAGATTATTGCTTGGATTCTGATACTTAAGATGCGTGTTTTGGTAGGTGGCAAATACATTTTTTACAGAACTTGCCATGAGGAATGCTACTGGCTCTAAATGCCCTTTACCGTTGCATCTTGAGCAGAGGACATCACTTTGCTTACATGAAGTGCTTCTTATTCAGACTTGTCAGTTGGTTATGATTGATCCTGATTAGTGTTTTGGGGTTTTTTGGGGGGTTGGGAGGAGGGAATTTTGGCTTTCCATTGGTGAGCTTTGTTCTCTCCTTGGCAACATTGGACTCCTCAGGATCTTGCTTTCCAGACAATAGCTTTTGAGGAGCTTTCTTTAAAATCTAAGAAGCTGGTGCTGGTGTGCTTCTTTTGCTGCTTCTATTTTTTATTTTTTTTTAACTGAGACGCAGCCTGCATGTATGTCTGTTTGTAAAACTGTCTATTCTTCAATATATTTACTTGACCAATAATGAATATAATTCTTGAGAAGAAATCAAAACCAATATCAGTGGAAGAGTGAAACAGGAATAATAATGAAAGGGATGAATGTCTACATAATTTGATAAAATTTACCTTAGAAGTTTATCTTAAACTCTAGGTTTAATATTGAGAGACCAAGATTCTTAGAATCATATTTAGGCAGCAGAGTAGCTTGGCTTGAACATTTTTTAGAAGCATTACTTGAGGAACACCAGGACCTTGACTTGTGATACTTACATAAAAACGGAAAGCTGAAAAGATATCTTGGTAACATCAATATCAGTTCTTATTTGCAGTAGACCTAAGCATAAGTCTAATGGTCATTTTTATCTTTTACAGGCTGGTTGCACCTCTGTTCGAGAGTTACAGCAGCATTTAGGACTCAAAAAGAGGGTTATTCTTGAATCTTGCAGAGCATTAATAGATCTTGTTGAAGAAAGAACCCATATTCTACCAACTGCAAAAGAGGTAAAATGCAGAAGAGAGTACAGATCACTTCTGAGTTCTGCTGAGCCATTTGTAGAGGGTGCTTCCCTCAACCACTTGTTACTTTCACCTGTAGGGAGTGCCACTATCAAAACTCATTAATCTGCTTTTTGAGTCTGGTTCATCACCTTAACCTGTCAATGTATGTAGATAAGAGTAAATTTAGTTGTCTTTACTTGAAATTGATTTGCACAATACCTCCTGCAAACTGAGTTGTCTGGAAAAGTAACCTCAAACAAAAAGTTAGTGACAAACAGTAGGGGGAGTGTACAGTTTTAATTGGCACAGTTGCCTATATATTGAATATCTGTCTCTGCTCTAACATGTTACAAAAAATGAGCTGTAAGCAAAATTGGTTTTATAATGAGGGCAGAGTGAACTGTGGGCTGAGAAGGTGATGGAGGTTGGGAAAATGATATCTTAATATGTTGCTCAAAAGAAGCCTCCTACTTTACTTGAAGTTGGTCTCCCTTTCACTTAATGCTCTGGACCCTTTCAAGTCAGCCAGGTTTAGACAAGAAAATTTTAAGCAATTAATGCAGTGATATAAAATAAATTCTGGTACCTTAAATCTTGTTTGGACAATTAGTTGTATGTGATGTTTGTAAGGAGAGTATGAGTTGTGCTTTTCATGATATCAAGTGTTTTAGGAAAATGCAATTCTATCTTTTGAATCTATTGTAGAGAATAAACTAGTCTATATAGATTTTATTTTGTGTATCTTAAAAGCACTTCCAGCAATCATTTGTGGTAAAACACAACGTAATGCAGTATAAAAAGAACGAATATCTCCACTTAATTTATCTAAAAAAAATGTTTTTCTGTAAGGAAGGTCTTGTCTCTCTCTGGGATGATGTAGAAAATCCTCCTCATTCTCTTAGTAAAGAGACATCATTGGCGCCTAAAGTCCCAGAGCACTTCATAGAGAAATTGTGGCAGCGTGTTGTGGGTGACAGCTTGGTAGTTGGAGTAAAACTAACTGAATCATTTTACTTGTAAGTATATAAATTTATCTAATAATTTCACTGAGTAGTTTCATAGAAACTGAATTTGCAGAATAAGCTCTGCAGTAGCTATAGTGGATTTTTGAGCTTTGAACTTTCTCATTTTGAACATCTGTATATAAAGTGTTTTGAGTGTGTGCTTTGTCAGTATTGTTGCTGCTGATTGTCTCTTTCTAGCACTGTGCAAAAAATCACATTGTATAGCCAAAAATCAGTTGTGTAAGTATAACCACATTATTACTGGAGGCTTTTTACAACAGAGTTTTCTTTGACAAAAATGATAGTTCCTTATAGTTCATGTTGACATAGCTATGCTGACATCAGTATGTGGTCTAGATAAAGCTCTGCCTTAGCTATAGAGTTCCTGATGCCTTACTGTTAATATCTTGCCTTTCCTAAGTAGTAGCTTGCTTAAAGTAGTGAAAAAGAAAACATTTTCAATTCTCTGATCAACTTAAATACTCAGCTTTTGAATTGAACTGTGCTACAGTCAAGTATCTAATCAAATAAAATATTTGCTAAGCTTATGTATTGTGTAAAGTACATGGATCAATCAGCCTTACAATACTTAAACCTTCAAAATGATTTGTTTATTCTTATTATTGTCTTTAAAATTACTTGTTTATTATGTTCATTTTAATTGCTCAATTCTAGTTGTAACAACTACTTATGTAACTTTGCCCTTACCGTGAGGGAACTTTGGAACACCACTTAAAAAAAAACAGGATTACATGAAACATAAATTTATGATGTGTGTTGTGTAATATAAACTTTGGTGGAGTCAGAACTTACCTTTTGAGCCATATTCCCACAAGCAGTGTAGCTGAGACTGTGTTTGGGTAAGCTTAAAGACTATTGATGCCACTGAAAATCATTCAACTGGTTGGGAGGGAGCTGACCTGTTACGCCCTTTGGCCATTCTGCTGGAGCTGCGGGTATATTATTTCTCAACTGCCAGATCGCTATAACTTTACAAAAAAGTTGACCTCATCTTCTTGACAGTCTCTTTTAAGAGCCACTGAGGCAAGAGATTGGTTTTGCCTTTCCAATGTTTATTTTTTTTTAGCTTTGATGATGATGACTTTGTTTTTGAAAATGAAATACTGAATTCTTGTATAGCTTTAGAAATCCTTAGAAAATTTGGAACCATTCTTTAAAAAACAGCTGCAATATTGCCTTCTCCTCCATTTTTACAGTTGCGAAAAGATCTGTGAAGATGAAGTAATTTGTCAAAGGATACCTGGTAGGCTGGCAGCAGAAACTAGGTCTTCTGGGCTTCAGTTCAGTACTATATAGTGACCTGTGTTTTTTGGGGAAAAGTGCTTGCTTTCTTTCCACCCCCAACACTAAGTCTTCACTGATTATTTTTGTGCTTCCTACTAACGCAAGATTGCAGTGATGTTTTAGATTTCATTATAAGGTGGTGATACTTCTTCATAAAGAAAATCAGATATTCATAAGACATTCAGATGTCAGTGACATCTTCACACTGAATTGAATGATAGAATAAAATTTTAATAAAGAGAGTACCTGAAACAGTAATATTAGGATTTCATTGAAAGAACCCTCTGTTGAATAAATAAAGTACTTCCTACATTTCAGAAAATTACTGCACATTTAAGGTAATAGTATTTTTAAACCTTTTTTTTACTCTCTATGTTCAATTTTGTTTGACTATCTATAAAACAATATAGAACATCAGAAGGGCTTTTAATTGTCAAAGAGGACAGAATCGATACTTTCTGTGATTTTTTATTAAAAGAAAGTTAAGTCTTTAAGAATAAATCAGAAATGTCATAGACTATCTGCATGGGTTATGTGGAATTTTCAACATTTTCTGTGTGAATTAGACATCCAGATTCTTTCAGTTGAAATGAAATATCTGACTCCTAGAAGCTCTTACAAAATTCAGTCCACGTTTTGAAAATCTTTATACTAAGCTTAGATGAAATAGTCATTTGAAGGACTTACACTCCTTGCACAGTCTATGACTTAACCTGGAATGATATTGGAGTTTGTAGTAGTCTTAAATGTCTGTATATATCTGCAAAGTTCTGGTTATATATCAGAAGGCAAAATACAAACTGGAAGTGCAGTCATCTTATATGGATTTTCACAGGTCACTGAGTGATATCAGTTTATCTTTAGTGATGGATCAAGACTTCTCTTCAATTTCTCCGATTATCAAGTGTCAAAATAAAATCATTAAGCTGAACAAAGCCTTCTCAGCATTGGCTGTCTCCTCATGTCAAATGGAGCCTCCTCCAAAAAAGATGAAATTGGACTTGCACAGCAAGAATGATTTGAAAAAAGAGTTTCCTGAGAGATGTTCAAGGGTTCAGCTGGATGGAGCAAAGACAATCATTGCTGTTACCAGCCTTTCACCATTACTGGCATTTCATCGTGTATGTTGCATAGTTCTTCTACATGCAAAGAAACAAAACCACCAGAATGATAGTTTACTGGAGAGCAAAAAGATAACCGTACTCTGTGGGAAAATTTTGTTAAGTCTGGAAGATATTTCAGATGGAAAATATACAGTAAAGATGCTAAGGAATAAAAGTTACTGTACAGGTAAATGGATTGATATAATTTGGATTCATAAATATATGGTTGATTCTTCTGGTTGCTCTAGGTGATGCCAAGCTAAGTTTTCAAGGTGTAATCTCATCTGTTTCTTTGAACACAAACTGCATAGACCTTTTGGGAATTAAAAGCTGGGTGAAATACAAGACAGAACATTTTTCAAAATGGAAAAAATGTTAAGTGATTTGCTGTAAGGTTTTGTGCTAGCGTTGGTGCTGAAGTGTATCTGGAAAGGTTAATTTTGAAGATAAGTGAGTACAGAATGCAGAAACCTGTGGTTTTTTCTATAAATAAGATACTGTTGATTAGATACATAGATTTTTTTTTTTTCTGGCATAGTATTACTTCTTAAATAATACCAAAGTAATTGAGGCTTTTCCTCATCTACACCTCTATTAAGGTCATTTATTTTCCTTTCTTTTAATATGCCTGATTGAGTTGATTTTGAACTGGGCTTCCGCTCATGTAGCGAAATATCCTTTTGATAGTTTGCAATTAATTTTAATTTCTTTCTTCCTTTTGTGCTGTATCATTGGCTAAAGCCAACATGCCATCTTACTATCACAGGAAGCTATTAATAGTCATCTTTTGGTAAGGTGGCATTTATCTTTAGAGCCTTCATTATGTAGGTGGGGCTCTGTTAATCAGATAAATATTTTGCTTGACAGAAGTAGGTATAAGAATTTAGGTGAGAAAAAAAAATTCCCCCAAAATGCCTTGAATGCAAGTGCAAACTCTTCATGTAAAACTGGGAGTGTGAACAAAAAATCTAAGCACATTTAATGCATGCAACATGATCAAAATATTTAGGTCAAGCATCTTTTTACTGTATTTTGTTGCAGGTTCCATGGAAGATATACTTGCTGTCCTTGCAGTATCTGTCAGATTCTCCTTTCAGATTGTGTCTTCTGACTGCACACTGACTCCAGTAAATTCATGGCTACTGGGAGAAATGAAGTGCACACCATTTAAGGCATGCCATGACAATATATTCTGTCATAAAGCAGGAAATATGTATGGTACAGTTTTTAAGTGGACGCTGAAAAATCCATTTGAAGGAGTTCTAACATTATTTTGCAGGTAAAATTGCTCAAAAAGTGTAAAGTATGTTCATCTTGCATACACACTTTTTTATCTTTACACTATTTCTTACTGGTACCATGGACACCAGCCAAAATCATAACCAACAGGCTTCCAATATGACGATATGATAACCATCAGCAATAACAGAATTATTTTAAAATCAGAACTATGGCAGAACCTGAACTGCAGTGTTTAATTTTGTCTAGGCTGATAGAACTTTGAATTACAAATTAGCTTAGTCTCCATTAATATCTGCTTGGTACTATTTCATTTGTTCATTTCACTACATCATAATTTTATATTCATTTTTCTTAAATTGTTCTTAGTATAATATATAAATTTTCTTCAACGTGTTGATTTAAAAAAAATTCCTTAAGGGGATGTTAAAAACAAAACAAAAAGAAACCCAAACAAACAAGAAGCCCCAAGTTATACTAAATCTAAATTTACTGCAATGCCATTTTGTAGTTTAGTACTGCAATATAAATTTAGTCTAATTTTGTAAATGTTTCTGATATATTTATTTCTTATCTACCATGATATTGAAAAGGAAATAATCTGAAGTGTCTCAGTGATTTCCTTTTCTTATGTAGAATCTTGGACAAATGTCTATAAAATTTTCTAAACCAGTGTACACAAGTTAGTAATACTGCCATAATTTATGATTAGATGGGTAAGGCTCACAACATAAAAAGTACTTCTGAAATACTGACAAACATTGCTTGTGCTGAACAGTTCAAGCTAAAATATAAAAGAAAGAAAAGGTATATCTCTTAAGAGTCTTTAGTTTATAGTGAGGTTCAATCTTTTACTCAAATTAGGAATTGTTTTTCTTCTGGAAAGGCTGAAATGTTTAAAAAATCAATCAGTAAAATGTTAAGCCTCAAGACTTTTTGTTCCTTTTGAAAAGTTAGGTTACTTGATGCTACTCGCTTTTGATCCAATTTATATTAATAGTTAGTGAGCTGCATGTTTACAGTGTAACTATGAGTGTATTTTCTACCTCTGTTTTTTCTATCTTTGGATTGATGTGTTACCCAACTAGGATATTTCTGTGATAGATGGGAGATACTGACTATTCTTTTTCACAGCTTTTCAGAACCAAAATAAACAATATCTGTTATAAGTAGTGGAATGTTAAGATAACTAAGTATAGAACTAAGAAATAGAAGTACTTTAAGGAAAAATGCCTTTCTGATCTGTGTGAGAAAATGAGCTACTTGATGTTTGTAGGGGTTTTGGGGTGGATTGGTTGGTTGGTTTCTTTTTGGTGGGTTGGGTTTCTTTCTGAGATAATTTTTTTTTTTTTTTTTTTACATCAAAAGACATCTTCCAAGGAGTTTATCTGGGCATACACTGGAAATAAGACTTTGGACAAACTACATTCTTCTTAGAATGAGGAGTGTGTCACTGTCATCTGTGCTACACTGGTATCCAGGAGAGTAGGTTCCCTGATGATTACCAGCACTATTTTATCTTGGTTTCTTAATTTTGAATGTCTGATTTTTAAGTGCAACTTTCCCTCTCCAGTGACCATTTGAAACAGACAAGCTGTGGGCCACCTCACAGCCATGCTGTGCATACCTATTGATAGTGACAATCTATGAATATCAGTGACTTTTTTTCCTGCCTCTAAATGTAGACCAGACAACACATTTCCTTCATGCTATTGCATGGTCCTTCACATACAATGGATTGCTTCTTAAAGAAACAAGTGACTCATGTAATCCTAATCATGGATATGTATTTTAGCATAGAATATTTATATTGCTGAAGTTTGCTTAGCATCCATTCTTTTGACATACAGTGGCTAGTGTGCACACCATTAGAAAGCCCTTGCTTACTCTTATATGTACAGTACACATAATACTTAAAACCATAATCAGCCTAAGTTTTTTCCCTGTTTGATTTAAAGTATATTTGGTTTATTTTTCACTACAAAATTTTGAAGAAATAAGGTAGCTTTAATAATAATCATCATCATTATCTTATTTTACAGAAATCTGACTGTCTTGTTCCAGTGCCTTCATAGCCTTATTAGAGTTCTCCCACCAAGATGTGATGTAAAACTCCTGAGATATGGAAGAAAAAGTGTACTTACTGAACAGTTAGCACTGTCTTTGGAAAAGGAAATGCTCACCTCAAGGAGTTCATTCTTCTCAAAAGAAAGTAAAGCCGAAAACAGTTTGACATGGGGGAATGAGCATGGCAAGAAAATCAGTGATGCTTCTGTGGCTTCTTTACTGGACAGTGAGGAAGGAGTTCAGCAATTCAGAAAGAAGCTTCAGAATGAACGGGAAGAGAGTATGCTAAGTATGAATCAAACAATGAATGGTGCCCTTTACCAGGAAATTGCTTTGAAAATAGCAGAAGCTCAGCTTAGTTCAGATATGATTGTGTGGCAACTGAGCAAGTCCTAGAAACTATTCACTAAATTTATTTAGAATAAAGTTTTATTAAAATTATACTATTAAATAATATCTATATTTTCAGCGGTGCTTTTATTTTTATTCTATAGCTCAGTTATTTCTACAGGTAGATACTGGTACTTTGGTTGATGACTTGTAGCTGGTTTGGCAAGAATTTAATATTAAATATAGCTGAGTCATTATTTTGTTACAGATTTTGAAAATATTATTTTTAATGCCTTTCCTAATAAGTCCTATTCCAAAGTCATAATTCTTGAACTACAAATGAGCTATATTAGAAAATTTGACAAGCACATACTGTTTAAAATAGTCCTATTAAACTTGAAAAATAACTGTTTACACAGGTAAAATTTAAGTTTTCTTTAGAAATCTTAAGTCAACTATAGAAATGATACAAGTTAAGCAACCAATTTTAATTCATAATTTGAGTATGGGGTTTGACAAATTCAAAGAAGAGGCAGCTTATCTTCGTGATATATCAAGCCTTTGAAATAACTTTTAATGATACCACTTGAGGAAGAAAACTCTGATTGTACCTTACAGCCCTATCTTCAAGAGCCCACCCTCAGATCTGAGAGATTTTAGAGTATTTATTGGAGCTGGAGAGTCAGATCAGGCCTCTTGCAAAATATCAAGAACCCATGAAGATGCACTCTGTAATAAAATACTTTCAGGTCTGAGAGGTTCCATTCCCACCCAGAATCTAGTGGTAGGGGTAATCTCATTAGTAAATCTTGGAGGAAACTGTCCTTCCTTGGACGTTAACCTAGTTTCAGTGTCAGAAGATTTGTTTGCTCATTCCCTGAGTCATAAATGATTGTCTGCGGATACTAGCTGCTTAGTGGTTTTGGCCTGTCCCAAGTATTTTAAATAATGGGCAACTCTTTGCCTATTAATCCTCCCTTCTCAGATTTGAACAAGATACCACCTATGCATCCAGGAGAACTGCCTCTGATCTTGCAGGTACTACTTGCTTAGGTAGTTACTTTTTAATAATTTTTTTTTTCCCACCATTTTTCAGCTTTGTGAGTGACAGCTCATAAAATCCCAAATCACAATAATTTGCTTCCTTTTAACCCTGCTTTATGCAAGCAAAAGATTCCTAGTGTTTGTCACCATTTTTCTAAAGCTGTCAAAATTTTGCTTTTCAGTTTTACTGTAAAGAAAGTTTTAATAGTTAATATCTGCAGCATACACTCTGACAATAAAAGTTTGGCAGGAAGAATGGAAGATAGTTATTGACTCAAAGGAACACTGACATTTCAGAATAATTGTGTATATTTTCTTTACCTGAAAGTGCAACTTCTGCATGTGTGTCTTCCAGAAGCTTGAGAGTGCTGATGTTTTCCAGTCCGAGGCATCTTCTCATATTGGCAACAGGAGTAAAACAATGCACATCTAAAGGCAAAACGCTAGCTAGAAAAACAGTAAATGAGAGAACACAGTGCTTTGTAAGTTTAACCCGGTTTAGTGGTGTCGTCTCACTTTTGAGATACTCAAAGTATTAAATGTCTCCTTTTGTGACTATACAGAAGGGAAATTTTGCATTAAGATGTCAAGAGTGCCTTAAGAAATTGTCACATGTATTCGAAACTCAGTATTTACTGGATGAGAAAGAATTGCTAAAAAATACCTTTCTTTGTCAAGCCGCAGGTCTGTTCAGCCCAAAGCTTAAGAGCTCATCGTGAGGGCTTGGCAGTCAGTTGTCACTGGAATTTCCAGAAGAAAGTTCCTGATTATAAACACTTAAATGAAGCGAAAAATCTCAAAGTGCAATCCTGTAGCTTGCAGCTAAGGGCAAGACCTTGGTAAACCAGCTGAGCAGAAACTTTCAGAGCAACAAAGCTACTATTCAGCTCAGGGCACTTGAAGGAGTTTATGCAAAGCAGTGTAAACAGTCCAGCAGTTGATTTTTATTAGCACTCCTGTAGCAGCCTGATGTCATGTTGTAACTAACCACCATATGTCTGTCCATCTTTAAACAGAAACTTCCCCTTGTGTTCACATCCCTTTATTGAACTAGTAGAGTGGGACAAATTAAGACAAGCTGCTAAGGACAGGAGTTGCTACTTCATAATTTTATGGAGTTATTACTTATCATTACTTAAAAGCAGCAAGCAGTGAAATCACAGAAGTGTAGAAGTGAGATTATTCAAGTAGAGTAAAAACGCATATAACATGTTCTTACTAAAGAGTCTTTCCAGAGGCATGAATACTTAGTTTGCATATCATCAGATGAGATCATTAAAAGCTTCCCTAACAGCTCTAGGATTCCTGGGAGTAGTTCTCCAACTGACTAGTAATGCATAATGACATGGCACAACTTTCTGTGGCTGTGATGCAATTGATAGGTCTATTGCATGTGCATGGGAGATACATTTATGTGCCAAAATCTAAAGGACTGATGGAAATACTTGGAAGGTTTATGCTGGTATGGGGCTTTTTGGCCCAGAATCATGGAAAAATGGAGCATGTTTGAACAAAGGTTCAGGCTCTCTAGACTCTTATCTTCAAGTGGCAGCAATAGGAATTTTGTTTAGATAGGTGCTTTCCTAAAATTGCCACTCAGCAGTAAAAGCAACTAAAGGTGTTAATCTTCAGTTTATTTTGTCTATCGTGATGATTAATCTCAGCACATGCTGATGTTCAAATGGAGAGTCCAAATTACATGGACTAGGAAAACTGGTTAGGTTGGTTCACTAGGTTTCTGTCATGAACGGTTAGAGTCCCATTTTCTGTACTCCTGAGACTTCTGGCTCCTAGGTAGGTGGTTTAGAAAATCCCTCAAAGAACTCTTTGCTTCATCAGGTGTATATATGTAATTCTGTAGGTTTTTTCTCTGTATATAGCAACTGCTACCTGCTTGTACACAATACAAGTTATGCAACCTGTGGTTGATACTGGGGTGGGTAGTGGCCTTGTACACAGCCAGCAGGCTCTTGCTGTTCTGAATTTATCAGTTCTGGTGGATTTAGCAGGGTAACTGATCTCCAGATCTTACCAGTTCCTGGGAGACTGTCACATGCTGCTTCTCAGCCTGCAATCTTGTCTTCAGCCTGCTAATGGCTGGTAACCATTCTTCCATCCAGAGCTGTACAACCCCTTCTCACAAGCTCACACAGAAGGGGCCTCTCATAAATTTTTGACAAGGTAGTAAAATTATACCCAGAGCCAGCCTGTCTTGACCCCAAAGTATCAAGAAAACATAATTTTGATTTCTGAAAACCAGCAGATGTTGTTGGGTTTTGGGCAGGTGTCTATAGGAGTGGTTCCAGCCCTCTGGCCAGGGCAGTAATCAGCATGTAGGCATGTACCTTGTGATGGCTCTATTACTATCCATTTCAACAGGCTGGGATGCAGAGGGGAAGCCTGCTCAAGGAAGCATGAGCTGTCATGCCTAAATGCACTCTTATGTCTGTCTTAGTACTTTTAAAGTCAGCATGATTTAAGGCCCGAAGAAGAAGTATCGTGTGTCAAAGAACTCTGGTTTTCCAGCTAAGTTGGTATAATACATAAATTTACTTATTGCACTGATTTTTCTCCATTGTTCTCAGGCAGGAGAAACCTGTCTGCTCTCAAGCAGGCTCTTGGATAGCAATATTTCCTTTTAAAGTTTGTGCGTGTGTGTGTATGTATGTATATATTTCAGATCAACAAACAGGCTGCTGGATTGTTCGCGGTAGTGAGATTTAAGCCTTCTCTCTCAACTACTAATTTTTGTTTTCTCACAGCTTTTGACAATTTGAGAACTGTGACAGTCTTATGACTGTTCTCTTCTGAATCATGCTGACTCTGCTAAGACAAAATAACACTAGCTTGTTTACCCATGAGTGAGTTATTCATTAGAGACTATTAACAAAGATGATAGAGTCAGCAAAAGGAGTATCCATGTAGTGGTAATTTTCTTCTCCTCCCTCCTCTACTTCCCTGGGAGAGATGAAGTTTTAAACAAGTGGAAGATAAGTGTCGATGCAAGAATTTAAATACTTGAATGGATGTGAAGTCATGAGTTTGAGCATCTTGTTGTTGGGTTTAGTTTCTTTCATTTTTTTGGTGTTTTTTTTTTCAGTAGTCTCTGCTCTCTAGGCATGCCACTGAGTAGGAGGAACAAGATGATAATCTCGATCAGTACGTAGCAGGAGTTTCTAGCCAAGAGAAAAGCTGTAACAAATCCCAGGGGAAAGCAGAAGAGTGTGGGAGGTTTAATGCTGCTCTTTAGTCATATTAATTATTGCTTTAAGGAGGTGATACTACTTTGGTCTTTTCTGTGACCTCAGGTTTGTGGTATGTGACAGCTTTACCCTTTGAATGTATTGAGAAATTCATAATTCATAGGTACAAGACGGCAGCTGCATGTTTATAAATCACTTGGTTGGCAGTCTTTTCTCTAAAGTGTCAGGTTTCTATCAGTCCAGTTCCTACCTGCAGTCCTACATTCACAAAACCCTGTTGCTTAACTGGTATTTAGGTCAGATCCGCAGGTCAGTAAAGCAGTCTCAGGTTAACTAATGCTCCTCCTTATTGTCTAAATGGAGAGGTGGTGAATCATTTTCCCAGCTGCAAACCTTACCTGCACAGCAAGGTATAAAGGTAAGTACTTTGTCATGAGTCCTTCAAAACTGTGTGTGCTGCCTCTGTACCTGCCCCCTTTCCTCTCCCCAGAGCCCCAGTTACAGTTTTGAACCGAACATGTGATGTCTTCTTTTGTAATTCTGCCTTTGAAATGTTCTCGAGCGTGAGGAGAGAAGCAGAAGCTGCCAAAAACTTCCAAAATTCATGGTTGGTGGGAGTCTGCTGTTTCTGTACAGTCTGTGCTGTTCCCTCCGCACAGGCTCTACCGACAGTGAACTTCCCTCCCCATCCCGCCCCAGTGATCAAATACTGAAGACCAAAAAGACAATCACTCCTAAAATAGAAAAATTAACTTTGCCTCCCCTTATCATGTAGGACGCAGGTATAGTTTCTTTTCCAAGGGATATAACTCTGCCAAACCAGATAATCTACAGATAAAAGTCATGTCCCTCATGCAAAGTGCACCTTGATTAAGCTTTCAGGTGCATGGGGCACTAGAGCAAGTAATTGTGCAACACTGAAAAAACATTTCCTACCCCTGACACTCCCCACCCCCACTCCTGGCTGAGTCCTTCATGACTGTTTCTGATGATAAACTGTTTGATTTTAAAATTTTTTTTCCTACGATTTCTGCAGTTAAGGCTCATTTTTAATTCAATTTTACTTATTGGCAGTGGATTTCAATGCTACCCACAACATTTTAAACCTTTGCTTTAATTTTGCCTCTTCTCAAGCTCATTTAAGAAAATTCAGCACTCATTGGATATGTTAGTATAGTATTACATTTTTAAATCTGTATTAGGATGTGGATTTTTAATACACAAGCTTTGTAGAAATCCAGAAAGAAGTAAATTTCTGAGGGATTTGGCAGAATCTCTCTCCTTTCTTTTTCCAAAGTGGTATGTAATTTCTTAATGATTGAATCGACCAGGTGACTCCAAATGCATATAACACGTACCAGCTTCTTTAATCCCCCCAAATCAGTTGCACAAGATAGTTACCTCAGAAAAATCAGAGAAAATCACGTAACATTATAGACATGTGTATTTTTCAGCACAACTGTAGGAAGAAATGATACTAGACAGTCAGACCAGTTCAGCACTCTTCCCTGTTTGTCAGCTTTTTTTTTTGTTTGTTTGTCAGCATAGTCTAAAATAATCACTGAGAGCAGCTGTTGGCTTTGAAGATGCTACGAACATTCTTAGACTATGCAGTGCGGGTAAGAACTAATTCACATTTGTGATCACATTCATTGGATTATGAATTCTTACCCATGCTGGAGAGTCAGTGTTGTAGTCATTTTGTATGTAGGAGTGCGGTTGTCTTTCACTGTCCCATCCAAAGGCTGTCTATGAATTAATGACAGGAAGATAAATACAACCACCATCCTATGAATAACAGTTATTGCGACCTCAGCAGGAACATAACTGAAATTACAGGTTCCAGCAGAGGATAACCACTGATTGTCTAATGCTGATGGTTTCACTGGGATTGTTTTTCCCTAAGGATGCCCCTAACTTTCTCCAAGTAGGTGATTTATATTTAGTTACTCAAACATGGCATTTCAGTTGTGATTATTTAAAACACTCAAGAATTTATAATTTCAGTTTAGGTGGTTTCAAGTCATGTGCACTGCAGCTTATTTTACCTGCCATTTGGCCAGAGGAGTTCCTGTGTAAATGGAGAAATGAAAAAAAATATGTTCCTGAGGTAGTATCTTAGCATTTTCATCTCACTGCAAAACTAAGTGAACTATTGCAATGCAAAGTACCTCAGTAGTGCACACCATCTTCTCAGTAAACATAATTTTTTAGCTAGAGGACAGCTTTCAGTAATTTTATGGAAAGAATATATCAGTTCCATTCTTTTCAAAGCAGCTCACTTTTTAGAAATGTGCTCTGAATGCTTATATTATTGCTTGATGACTGATAAATTTCACTCAGTCTGTAAAAAACATACTTTATTATTGAGGTGTTTTACTTCAGAACTAAATTGCTAATTTAAAAACTTCCCTTGTTTTAGGATTGGAAAATGAAATAGACTTGGCAGAAGTAATTAAAGATGATGAATAAATGATCCCTTCTTTTGCCTTTTCCCCAAACATTAATATATTGTCTTCTGAAGTTATAACTAGATAATCCACTGAAAGAACATAAGATGTATAATCTTCTCTGAAAAAAATA